ATGCTAATGGTAATGCTAACAGATACTAATGATAATGCTAACAGATGCTAACATATGCTAATAATAATGCTAACTAATGAAATAGATGTTAATAAAGTAAACAATGAAAGCCCCACGTCTCTAATGATAATGCTAACAGATGATAATGATAATGCTAACAGATGCTAACATATGCTGTTGATGATGCTAACAGATGCTAATGATAATGCTAACAGATGATAATGATAATGCTAACAGATGCTAACATATGCTATTGATGATGCTAACAGATGCTAATGATAATGCTAACAGATGCTAACATATGCTAATGATAATCCTAACAGATGATGTAATGCTAACTAATGTTCATATATATTCAAACCATTTGTAAATGACTGTAAATAGCAAACAACATTTGAAACTTTAGTTATTTATTTTTATTCATATCGTTCAGTATTATATACAAATAACTTTAATCGTCCATCCTTGCTGGGATACCAGGTGGTTTGTATAAGAATGTCCGTTTCTTTCTTGTATTAGAAGTGTTTTGTTTTTTCTGTTTAAATGGATGTTTCTTCTTTATATTTACAGAGTTTTGTTGTTTCTCTTTAGATGGTCTATACTCTTCATATTTCATATCTTCATGTTGACGTTTCAATTGTGCCTTTGCTCTGTCGACAACTGCAGTCATGGGTGAAATGATTTGTACCGGTTTAGTATCTTCTTTAATGTCATCTATGCCTATCCACCCTCTTCCTGTTTGAGATACTTTCAATCTATTCTGTCTCCCAGTTCTAATAAGTTTCAACCAGTGTTCTGGGTTGTCTACATATGGTACTAGTTTCATGGTTTTTAGTTGATGTGTATATATCAAGTATGAGGATTAAAATGATAAAGATTTGAATATTTCACTCAATATATATTGTCAAGTGGCATTAATATCAACTTCTTATCAACATCTGATGTCGTGATATTCTTAGAAACTGATGTCGTGAATTAATGTAGTTCTTGTTGTTATTGACCATTCCAGATTAGAAAGTTGAAAGATCATTTATATTCTTAAGATACATTCAATAGATTTTTCTGTCAAACTTCTGGAACCTTCCAGAATAATAACTCATCGCTATAATCTGTTTTTGAAAAAGGGGATTAACACTGTAAACAAAAGATGTTCTAGAATATGAAGGATTAACATTGTGATGACACAATTAAATGTCAACATTCAATTATTACATTAAAAGACCATTATTGTTGAAATCAAGTAGAGTAGTAAGATCAAATGGTCAATTCAATATAGGACTTAAATAAATAAACCTTTTCATCTGTACTCATATTTAATCCAAAATCCAGTTCTCTTTCCTTTTATGCGAACAGTATTTGTTTGACCAACTCAATAGGATTGTTGATTCTTTTCAATGTTGGGTTAATATTGAAAGTAGAATTGTAAACACTGTTAATGGATTATACCAAATTTAAAATAATATTAAAGGGATTTATTTTGTACTTTACTAAAGACATTCAGTCCAAGAAATACATTTCTCGCCCATTTAAGATAACAATGATGTCATGCGCATCTTATCTCTCATCCATTTAAGATAACAATGATGTCATGCGCATCTTATCTCTCACCCATTTAAGATGAAAGCCCCATCCAATTAATTTATCTCCTAATCCCCATCCTATCTCCTGCTCATCTTTATCTCTCAGAGATTTTGAAAGCCCCGGGCCCGTGGCGGCCCGTGGCGAGCCAGAACCTGACATTTTATATCTACTCTTCTGAATTGTGGGAATGAAGTACTTTCATTTTTGCGCATGCGCTGCGCATGCGCATAGAACACGGGAAAGTCGCCATTTTTCAACTTTCAGTTTCGAAACTTAATTTCATGCATCTTTTTGCGTATAGCAGTCGTTATAGGCTGTCCTTCGTTAAAAATAACATACGGGAATGAACCTAAGGAAACAAAGAACTCTAGGAACTACCAATTTTTAACAGTGGACGTGTCTTGGGGAAGAAATCGACTCTGGAGGTAATAATTTGGCTGCAAAAAAATTCGGTACTTGCAGTGTAATCACTTCTTAACAAATTATTCATATTTCTCAGCAACAAGTGGATGGATTGCTACCATTTTAGGTAAGTTTACTCTTTAGTGTTGTTTGAATCAGCATGTCGATTATTGAAAGGATTCCATATATTTTTACTTGATATATCTAACAATCATTTTCTACAAATTTCAGGTAGCATCAAAACCGACCACCCTTAATACTATTATAAGCAGTAGATTCATCGGAGGGCTTGCCCGACGCCTCGAGACAAGCCCCTGTGGATTTCAGATGTCATGGTTTATCATGATGATGAGTTTCAGGGAACCTGAACTACACTGTACTTCAGGTTAAATCAGATGTTAAATTATGAATTCATTAGCCTTGCATTAAACTGGTTTGGCTGTGTCTTGTACAAGATATTCAATCTGTCTCTGTCATAATTTGCTACTCTATCTCTCTTTCAATTTAGCACTTTTACCTGCTTATATGAACATGTTGCTATGAAACACTTTACAGTATAAATTAACACATATGAGTTAAAATTACCATAAATCAATGATATTACCTGTAATAGTCTAGTCAAAGAATATGATTTATAATCTCATGTGAGTTGAAATACGCTAATGTCAAGATAAATTAATATGGAATTGGCTGTTTCATGGAGATAACACCATCGGTAATCAGAATATTTGACAAAGAGATTGTCCATGATGGGACTAAATATGACTTTGTTCGACCAGATGATATAAAACTGTAAAACATGTTCATTTTGCTTAAACTTTGAGTCACTAAACTTTGTCCTTATCACAAATGACAAAATTCATAAATATTATAAATTATAACCCTTTTCAATAGTTTTTTGCATCACACTTCCAGTAAAAGTGTTCGTTAATTTTATAATAACCTCATGATATGCATATTTGAAAGTTGTATGTACTTCGTAAGTTTGTTGTCTTACATGATGTGAAGATGTATGGCGAAGTCAAACATTGTGTACAGACATATAAATCTGGGAGACACTCCCTGGATACGGAATGTTGTCACACTTTGTCATATTTTCTCGTGTGTCATATATTACATAGAGACAAATATGAAAGTGATTCTACTTTTAAAGGTGAGAGCTACTACAGTTTTTATAGCACCCTTCGGGTTTCTTAATTGGGATAAATAGGCAATTGTTTTATATCTATCCACTTTAAATGGGCATGTAGCCTTTTTATGAACCCGTTTTAAAATAATCAAAAAGGGATTGATCATCGTCAGAGGGACCAAAGCTCCTTTCTAGAGGGCATATTGCAAAAGATGAAAGATGTTATGAATGTCAGAGTCGGCTCTAAAATCAATTGATTATTTTATTTCTCCTCCTTGATTTTAACTACTAGCTGTAGGTGTACATGTTATAAATTGCCATAACATTTATCCTGCTTTAGTAAAGTACAAGACAAATGAAAGTGATAATGAATCAAAGTAAACATCCTCACAGACACTCTACCAGTTCATGTGAGGGTAAGAGGTGTGATATGTTTGATTAGTTGGAGATTAGGTTGATTAGATGACTAGATTAGCAATTCAATGATCATGTCATTATGCCAAGTGTCTTCAGAGCTATAGATATTGTTAATCATATTTCATATTTCTGTATAGGATTATATATCCAGAATGCCAGAGCCTAGTACATGTTGATGAAGCTGTCTTTTAAAGTTCAACAAAATTTAACTATTTGAAATGGTAAGGATTACATGGCATCTTGATCCATCAAGGAATTTTATTTGACTTTATGAGTACAATCTAAGATTGTTTTTGTATACAGTAAAACTGTCTTAGTGGAACACCCATGGTTCCACTTAAAAGTGTTCTACTTAAGAGGTGTTCCACTTGTAAGAGTTCAATAAACATGAAGTCAATGGATCATGGGATTGTGAAAAGTGTTCCACTTACAGAGGTTTTCCACTTGACAGGTTTTACTGTATATTACATAGAAGGATAATTTGTTGGTTTAATAATAGGTACTGTAAGGTGATGTTCTATATTCTATGTTCTATATTGAGGGATCCGCAGTTATCTAATAGTTTTGATAGTTTTCAGTGAAGTTATCGGTCAATTAAAAGAAAGATTTTGAAAAATGTAAGGTTAGAGATATTAATCTGTTGATGACAAAAGAAAATGAGTTTAGAGGTAGTCTTCATTCTAATCTCTGCAGACAACACTCTCTGAGTAAAAATTGCCATGATTACCGTGATATTCTTACAACAAATATTCTCAGAGTGAAATTGCCATGGTAACCATGATATTCTTGCAAGACAACATTCTCTGAGTGAAATCACCATGGTAACCATAATGGGTTACCTGTGATTTTGAATACATCAGGAATAAAAGTACCCTTTGCATTCGTTTGACTTCACTTCTTAAAAGAGAGCTTCGTCTTCACTCTTTCAAACTAAAATAAACCTGTGAACTCACCGTGCCAATCAGTGTCCATCGGCCAAATTTGACAGACGTTCTATATATGGTCATTCCTTCTGACGTCATCGTTGAGCCCGGAATTGACCAATGACATGCGAATATTTAATTAGAACGCATTTGGCGTGTGTTTCTTCAAGCTCGCTGATTGGTGGAAGAAATGTCAGCGCGTAGGTCAGAAGTGATTTATCACCCAAACTGTCACCGGTACCCGCCGTGGGGGCGGGGCTACTAAACTGTAATATGGTCTCTACTAGGCAGAGTGTAGTTTAACTAGACTCTGCGCGCACGGTAAAATAAAAGATAAACACATTTTTTATATTCATCTAAGTCAAATAGAGATAACACACAGTTATAGGTCTACATGAACCTGATAAGCTTATTGGATGTGACCACCTTGCCTATTGTCTATAGGTGGTAATCTATAACAGTGTATACTGAAAAAACAATAACGAATTGAGTTATCTACGTCCCGCAATATCATATTGATCTAAGAGGAAATGTTTGTTTAATTTCAGTTAACTACCTTGGATCTGGGATAACAAGTGAAGCTGATGTAGGGTTATAATTCAAAACAAAAGAACATCTACTGAGAGGATTATTATACTACACCTATATGGTAGCATTCAGGTAAGCCTATATAAAAATTAATTTCTATCTATAATCATAAGTAGAGAGATAGATCTGTACTGAAGAATGGACATGTTACACCTCTGACATATTTTAGTAGATAAATAAACACACGAACAAAGTAATTCACTTCTATTTCATACCTTTTAGAACAGTGATTGACCAAATAATTCAACTCGAGTACATGTACATCTATCTCTTCCAACAATTGCTGATATCAAAAAATGTAAGAGGGGTAACAAACACATAGGAGATGATGTAAAACATTTTACTGATCCATTGAAATATGGAACATTGGAAGGGAAATGTGTCCTTGTATAATCAATTATTCAAATCAATGTTAGTAGACTTTTATAGTGTGATGAAAGGACACTTGTTAAATGGCCCATGTCTAAATGATTTTCAATATAAAATAGACATGTTTTCGGCTATCAATAAATATTGTTTTCTCAAAATCGAGCAATACTCTAACGTTTATGCTTGTCATGTTCGAATACGATTTTGATTGTTATTGTTACATGACTTTGCTTATTTGTTACTGAATTGGTGACATAATCTGCAATAGAAGATGCAATACCTGTATTCAGTACATGCTGACACTGCTAGTATCCTGTAATAAAAGCTGTACTGTATTGATTATCTGTTAGTGTTCATACCCACACTATTAGACTGTTCTGTGTCTTACCTGTGGTTCTACCAACATGTCTATTTCAGCCATGGAAATATATTGTACATCTTGCTATATATTTGTTTATCACAGGGTATCCTCCTTAGTGTTGTTTGAGTAGATATGTACCTTTCTTTTTGTGAAAGATTGTCCTGTTAAGAAGGGCATGGACTACAAGGGTATAACTGCAGGGGCGTAGTCAGCCTTCAGTCAGGGGGTGTGATTGCCATTTTTTCAGTTAAGTCGGGGAGGGGGCAAATTTTTTTTTTAAGATTTGTTTTGAATTTTACAAAGATTGATGCAACTTCCTTCCAAAATTGAGCTTGTAGCTTCAAATAAAAGCATTTTAAAACTCTTTTCTTCTTCTATCTATTGGTTCTATTTTTATTGGTTATTTGGGGGGTGCACTCATCGCACTATGTACTGTTTTAGCACAAAATGTCAACCAACCAGTAAACTCAAATAGCTACAGAAAATGTCATTATAGCCTTGTAGAAACACAGTTCATTCATCAAATTTTGTTATTAGTATGTATATTTTTTACTTGGTGATGCAAAAAGTGGTCCGAAATGGTTATCTAATGCGAAGGTTATAAATATCTATAGCTCATTTAGTCATCTGAGAGATGATCAGTATGCATCATGATAAAACATGTTCTCCATTTCTTCTCATGTTGCAAGTGAAATAGAAAGATGCAATGAGTGTACATCAGAATGGATTACATGAGAGCCTATGAGAATGAGAGACTAGCAAGACAGTGTGTGCTGAAACAATAAATGTTTAATAAGCAGGGCTGTCTCTTAAAAAGGAGATGCCAATTTTCGTGTCTGGCTAACGCCCATGTTTAGGTGTTTTATTATCGTTATTGTTATCAGAAGTGGCTGGATTAATACTCATTTCCTTACCAGTATTATTGTCATCATATTGTATTATATTAAACTGACAGTTGTGAATATGTCATTGTAAGAGCTAGATAAACAGATATGGATCATTCAACTGTCTGCTGGTTAATTAATATTTGAGCTACTTGTTTTGACATATCTGATTTGGATGGTTTAAAACCATGTAAATTAATATGGAAGCTACTTGTTTTGACATATCTGGTTTGGATGGCGTAAAACCTTGTCCTGGTAATACTTTGTCTCTTGTATAGACACACGCGGTCCTAACTTCGACCGTTAATTTGAATTTTTGACCTACCAGATGTTTGAACATCAAGGATTACGAGTCCCGTTTCTCTTCAAACTTATTCCATTCAAAGCATAACAAAAATCCCTTTCTGATGGTACATTATTCTCTTTAACAGAGTCCTTACTTCCAGAGGCATTTTGGTCCCCAGTTGTAAGAAGGCCTTCTAACAGCTGGGGACCAAAACGCTGCTAGAACGAGGGACTCTTTACAATAAAGAAATGCTCCGACAGAAAGGCAATTTTGTTTTGCTTTTAATGGTATAACTTTGAAGAAAAACGGTGCAGTATGAGACTCACAATCCTTGATTTTCAAGCATCCGGTAGGTCAAAAATTCAAATTAACGGTCGAAGTTAGTACCACATGAGACAGGGAACACCTCTCTTGGCTGACTCTCATGAAATCCTATATTTAATCCATAACAGGTACTCAGTTATCACATTAGCAAAAGCAGAATTGTGTCAGTTGCATGTAATTCATCATTACAATTGATCAGTCAAATTACTTAGATTTCATAGACACGCAATAAATTATTGTTATTTTATATTTCTCTTCTCTGAAAATATGTACTTCGGTACATGGAACCATGTTTGTCTTAATTCATTATATCACATGCATCATATTGCATATGTGACTGTACACAGCCAATATAATTCGGCGCCATTTCGGCATCGAAAAAAAAATATTAATACATACATGTATATGTATTAATCTGTACCCTGCACCTAGAGTCTTGTTATAAAGTCGAAGCTCTATTTTAAGGAGCGAAGTTGAATGAATGCAAAGGGTAATTAATCTATATTACAATATGATATAATCTGTACAGTATACAATGCATGCATTCAGATATTGTTCTTCTATTTTTACAGATGGCAAACTGATGGAACATTGAAGCAATATTTCTCATCAAATACAGGATAATAACACACTGGATACAATTAGAATCAATGTTATATGTAATTGTTTCTGCATATAACAATTCATATTGGATAACTCAAAGGAATAAAGTACATCTGGATACGTTATCAACTATAGTACCTGAAATGCTAAAAGGGCAACTGGTGGAAAGAAGACGGGAAAGGACCAAATTGAAAGGTAAACTCCTAATGTCTCAAACTTTTATATCTTTCATCATGAAAGGCTACTATCAACACAAATGATTTATTGCCATAAAAACACAAAAATGACACATTTATTCAAATTATTGATCAAATATGGGTTAATATTCCATCTGTGGCTCTCATACTGGTTGGCTTTGTCTGATATTTTGAATTGAGATTTATTAATTAAGATTTACTTTTACAGCATTTATTACATAGTAGGTTTTCTGACCTTCTGTTGCCCTCTTTTGAATATCAGAGCAGAAGCCTTCAATAAAACCTGTCTGATCCGAACGCTCCTGTGACTGGTCAAACGTGTTCAGATTAGCAGGTGTTCACATGTCAAGGGTTCTGAAATATCTTAATCAATGGGAAGTAACATATTTGGGACTGTAAAAAGTGTTCACATTGAGGGGTGTTCGGATTAGAGAGGTGTTCCTATGTAGGTTCTCCCACGAATACATCCTCGTCACTTATATAACAGAATGTATTATTCAGTATAATATTATTTCCATAAGGTATAACAATTCTGATGAATTACATTCTTACACGATAATGTCTTAATTTCTTTTTCTTTCATAATCAGTATGTAAGAATGTTTTTCTAATTTGATTGATCATCTTAAATTATAGCTAATATAGGTGTAGCTATGAATTAATCAAACCTTTCATTCAAAGCTGGGAAAATATTGACTTTCACATGTTTACCTATATATTATACATGTATACATCAGATATATTATATAGCTCAGTGGTAGAGCTACTTTAAATTAAGACAAGCCTTTGTGACATTTTGAAATTTTTTTTTCTTTTGAAAATGTATGGTATAGGTGTCAGAATAATTCTAGGATTGGGATTGATAATTTTGGTACAGTAGAACCTGTATATCTGAATACCTGGCTAATCTGAACACCTCCTAATCTGAACACTTTTTTGGTCCCATTTTTTCCTCCCATTGACTCCCAAGTTAAAAAAAACTTGAAATGTGAACACCTCTCAATTTGAACAGTGAACAGTCATATTTGAAAAATTAACCTGTCTAATCTGAATACTTTTCATAAAATTTCACATGTTTCCTACAAGATTGCTCAAATATAGTTATACCAAAACTTTGGGAAAAAACTTAAAAGGTCTTGATTAAACTATAATAGGGCTTTCCAGCATGACTAGATTCATTTGAATTGAATTTTCAAATTTCTGAAATGCTGTAAAGCTGTGTGGTCAAATGAACTATAAATATGTACCGAGAATGTGTTCACATTTCTTCAGAATCCGGAATCTCGCGAATGCAAAAACCTCAAAATGTGAACACCTCCCAATCTAGAACGCTTTAAGCTGGTTGTAATGGTGTTCGGATTAGACAGGTTTTACTGTAATTTCCTTTGAGTATGGGTTTCTGGGTCTGTCTTTCAGTGATTTTTGACTTTATGATTCTCAAGTTCAAATCCTAAAAAAGATTTTATGCACAATCATATTGTCATAATTTGAGACAACTTCTCAGAAGTGTTAAGAATTAACAATTGTCACTTGACATCAAAGACAATGTCCAACAACACTGAATATGATAAGACATATTTCATTGAAGAGGTTCATTGGATCGGTTATGCAATTCTCTATCTAATTAATTGTCCCTACAATATCCAAAAAACTTACATTATTGACGTTTCCGCAGCCAAGATGGCATCCGCAGGCTACCAAAACGTCAATATATTTTTGGGGAAGTGTAGGCGACAATTAACTATTACTTTATGACTATGATAAGACATACTTTAAAATGTACTCCATGATTCTTAGACATATGACTGCCTGGTACACTTGACCTAACCATCCCATATTTATTATGTTTGATGAAATCAGTTATGTTCAAGTTGCTTTTGAAGTTGTTTTTAATAGCTCTGGTGTTACATCTGCATGTTCTGTTATTCTTAGCTCAAGAAAATCTGTTGGAAGTGCTATTATGGCTTCTAAGAATTCATGATATTTTATATTATATTATGAACAGGAATTGCATGTTTATTGTAAAAAGATTTTCCCTTACCAAGAAAAAAACAGGATATTTGCCTCAAAAATTATCAAAATGGTGAGGGAATTTTTGAAATAAAAAAATTTGAGTATTAAAGGTCCTATATAAAGTTTAAATCATTTTAAGTATACTTTAGTCTTACCCAATGTTATCAGTATGTGACATGTGAAACTTTTCAATGCAAAAAGATAACGTGGTTTGCAGTGTAGTGGAATATTTGATGATTAAAAAATCTAATGAGTGGTAATTAAATTATGTGAAATTCTGAAAGTAGAAAATTGCACCACTTATTGAAAATAAGATAAGTGAAAAATATTAAAATTAGCATATGTATAAAAGACTTACGAAAGTTCACAATTCATCATTGATAAAAAAACAATGCATTAGATTTGAATCAGGAAAATTAAATTTGGGCAATTTTGAAAATGTAGCAATCCTGTATGAGGCATGTACGTTAGTGGTCGGACTTGCCTGAAAATCCCCACTCGAGTGGGCCATGAAAAACCACGATTATATTCGCGATTTGACTTAGTTGAGTTACTTCCGGTTTCAGTTTCCCAAGTAGTGGCAGAATTCATCAATTTGATCAAGTCTTTCAAGTGCCTCTATACTTTTTATTGTCTAAATCGTATTGCACATCCCTATTCCCGGCTGTTGGATATTCCCAGAATGCATCAAACCGGAAATGAAACTTTTGCATAAAAATAACGAACGCAGAATAAAATCCAAGTATGTTTGTCTTCCGCACATGGCATTAAATAGAAAATAAGTTGAGACGAATCGCGAGTCAAAGTAAGGTGAAAACAATTAAGTGAAAAATATTTTTTGGTAAAAATTTCAAATCGTGAGTTCAAGTTTTCAACTCGATCAATTGATTCTTAGGACAAATGCGAGTAAAACTCGAGTACACGAGTCAGTCTTCCAACCACTAATGTACGTTATGGATAAGGACTGTATTGTGATAGTGTGTTAGACCAAAGCATAGCATTCATTTTATGATTTTGTGGTGGCCATGACTTGTTGTTTATATACATAGACATTAGACATCCTTATCTATTGTTGAGAAATATCAAACATGTTCTTTAATCTTTGTCAAACAATATCTTCTCTCTGTACAAAGTCTAGCTATGCACATGTATAGTTTAGCTACAAGCCTTTGCCCCCCCCCCCCACTACATGCCTCCATATTGAGAAGTTGTCATACCTGTGTAGTCAAGTAGTAGGACAGGTCACAGAGGCATGTAGCTAGACTAGTTTATATACAAACTCATCAAATTCTTCATTTGTTATCAATAGGCTATTAAGTTCTTGACCCTCCTACATTGTCAGTAAAACATGTATATTTACCATTAATTTTTCTAATAAAAAACATGTTAACTCATTCATTCTCAATCTTAAAATGATCTTGCTGCAAGGACAACTATTCTCACTTCTATATTTGCATGATGCCTCCCTTGTTGTTTTGAATGACATGTGCATAATGTGTTGGCACCAGTATTATTACACAAACTGTTTTGATTCATTTTGATTCATGTCTCGATATATCATATTGCTACTGGTAGCTCAACATATAAACAACATTGCTTTTTATTAAGTTTGCATTTCAAATGTTTACTCAATTACTTTTAATTAACTGTCATTCTTATGACTTGAATAACAAAGACTTTCAAAATGCAAAGACATCAAAAACACAAAATATCTGTGCCTTCAGAAGTTACCTCTTGGCTTTTCATATGATTAAACAATACAATAATAGCCATCATCATATATTTATCTTTAAAAAGTGTTTACAAATGATCATCAGATTCAAGAATTGTTAAACAATGTATGGTACAGTAACACCTTCAGCACCTCTAACAAATGTTGCACTTGGGAGGTGTTCTATTTATAATGGTTCATTTAACATTGAGTCACCTGATTGTGAGATTCTAAAAAGTGTTCTAGCTAAGAGAGGTGTTCTACTTCTTGAGGTGTTCCACTTAACAAATTCCACCGCAAATCAGACAGTAGCCTGTATTGGTATTTTAATTATCATTCAGTATTTAGCATGTATGAGATATCTTAACATCTAAATGCTAATTAAAACAGTAAATTAAAGTCAAGGCATGAAACAGGTTGAGATTCAAGTGGAAACAATAGTAGCAGGTTCATTTTAAATGTAACTGATACTCATGTATTATTGACAACTATAATTACAATAAAACCTGTTTATATTGAACAATTTTTGCAAAGAAAAAATATTTAGTGTTGGTTCCCTACAGAGAGGGTAATTTATAGGGAAGTCAGTAGAGTATGTGCGGAGGAAGGGTATCTACTAGAGAGAGATTTCCACTATGCATGTATGTTACTGTAGCAGACATGGTCTTCCCTGCTCACCTGTATTATTCATGTATTTTACCTATTGTAATTAAATATTGATGGTTGTTATGTCAAGGTAGCCATCAACTCGAGGGGCTGAATGCTTTCCTAGTTCTTTTAGCTAGAGGTTGGCCTGGATGCATAACAAGACAGATCAGACAAACTTAAGAAAGTTTTGAACATTGTGAAAGAGTTATGCAGGTCCTGCCGCCTTTAAACACAGTAAATTGTGCTTTTCCTATCACCAATGATCCTTGCATGTACTGATAATCTTAGCAAAATTCATAATCAAACCTTTGGCTTCTTCATATTTTCTGTTTCCTGATGTCTACCTTGTTTTTTTTATTCGGGGACTCAGACTCGATTTTTATATATGTTCCCAGGCTTTTGTGATAGACTCTATATTGTGTCAGCTCAAGTCTGGTTATCAAGTAGTCTTAAGCTACAAGCATCTGTGACCCCCCCCCCCTCTACTTGACTAAATACCTTCTTGTGTGTAAAACAGGTGTTGTAGAATTTAGAATTTATTAAGGCACGGCCACTGTGTTATCAGGGCATGGCCAGACTACAATTATACAAACTACATTTATACAGTTACATTTATACCACTGGGGGGTATCGTGATGCAACAACACCGTGTTGTTGCATCAAGATGGCCAGACTTCCGGTGATAGATTTTCGTACGATATTTTGTTTCCCCAATTAAACCCGTTTCTAGGACGAGTTGCTCAATAACCATACACATGCAGGTAGCGCACGATCTATATTTAAAGAAACTGTCATTAGTATACATGTACCATCACCAAGAAGCAATAAGTTCACGGTTTTAGTTCCTCACTATTGATGCAACAACACCAAACCGAAGATGCAACAACACTCCTCTAGATTTGAGCAATGATGCAGCAACACCAATTGATAGTATAATTTCAGAAGACCATAAATCTCGAGAGGAACAGATTTTTAAATGCTACTGTTGCAACACCGTTACCCATTACCCATGCGTTCTTCTCAAGGCATTCAAAATACACGTCCTGCGGGCGAAGATCCTTTATGTATTTTCAAAAATTTATACTTTTAAATATTATAATGTACTGGACGTTGTTCTATAACATAGTTCAATCGCCTTTAACATGGCAAGCTTTAGTAACCCAATCTATTTTCATAAACCACTGTTCCATAGCTTGATGACCCTGACTCCAGTTAGTATCATTCAAAATGGTTGACAAACATCTTTCGTTCTTGGTAAACATGATGAGCTATTGGAAATTATCTGTCATCCATCTGTGGAACAGTGATAAACTAGTAGATGTACGTTACCACTGTTTATCAAATTATAACTAAAACAGTGACATTCGTGAGCTTATGTTGATGGGATGATTGCTTCATCTATGATACAATATGATATGATTCTTTATTTCCTCCAATTTGGAGAGCCAACGTGTAAAAACGTCTAATTGACCTTATTAGAGAGGCCGTTTAGTTACACATTTAATGGAAATCTTGCACGACGCACATGTAGAATTACTAGTATTGCTCTCTTTGGATACCTTCTCTCCGACTGGGTAAAAAGGTAAACAAAAGTGATAAGATTAAGGGCCCAAAAAGGTAAATTGATAGGGGTACAGTTATCCCAGATATCCCGGGCCCTCGGGAAATATCATATTGTCTCTCGGAATAAAACCAATATTGAATCCTTCTCAGTAAATAACCTTTATATAATAGCATTGTATAACTGCAAAATCATTAAACCAACACTCATCCTATACAAATCTTGAGAACGATGTACAACTCCTGGATAGGGTTAACTCCTGAGCAGTGTATACAACTCTTCAACTTGATATATGACATCATACTTTGAGTGGGATAACAAAGGATATACAATATAGAATTGTAGACCTCTCTTAAGGTCAACTGGCAAAATTGTATACCGATACTGTAAACCTTGAATGTACTGTTGATCAAGACCAGAGGTCGAGGACACTTTTGCCAGTTGACCGAAAAGAGAGGTTAACAATTCTTCTGTTAGTCCAAATAATATAATAATTGGACGAATATATAATCGAATATCACGTGAACATATTTGATAAGTAAAGGTATCATATTTTAGCAAAAAATCCCCAAACCGTCGAATACTTGTAATGTTTTACACAACTTATTTTTTCAAAATTAAAAAATTTCAACATTAAAAAAACAATTTTTCAAAAATAGGGGTCAACAGTACCTAGTAGTGGTCAACAGTTTACAATTGTTGACCTCCCCAGAGGTCAACCGGCAAAATTGTATACCGAGACTGTAAACCGAAAAACTACTGTTGACAGAGTCGGAAGGTCGAGGTCAACAGTAGTTTCAAGTTTTACAGTCGAGGTATATGATTTTGACGGTTGATCAAATGGAGAGGTCTACAATTGTTTTGTTAGTCCGAGTAAACTAATAATACACATATAGACGACAATCATCAATCGGAATGGCTTCATTTCACAACCTTTTCTCCGAACCACGTTAGCAATATTTTTTTAGAAAATATGGAGACAGTGCAAGTAGCTTAACTCTGTATTTGGCACATCACGGCGCACTCGTTAGTTAATTAATGTTAATTTTAAGTTTCTATTTGTATTTTTGTTATACTTGTCGCCTAGTAAAGTCATTTTCATCAACGTTTACAAAATGTCCGTCTTCCATGTTTTTTTGTGACGTCATGAAACTTTTTTTCAGATGTAGCGGTCAACAGTACATAATTTTGACCGTTAATCACCCAATCAGAATCGAGTATTTCAGTTGAGGTACTAACAATACATTTTGTTGACCGTTTATCAACCAATCAGAATCGAGTATTTCAGTTGAGGTACTAACAATACATTTTGTTGACCGCTCATCAACCAATCAGAATTGAGTATTTCAATTGAGGTACTAAAAACACAAAATGACTGATAGCTGTTGTCTTTCCAAAATTATTAGTTATTTGTAAGCAATTTCCATACGGTAAATCAAGGGTATTTAATTTAGAAAATGTATAATCTTTATTTTTCAGATACAATATCAATGAGATTGCCTCCCGGGGATTCTGTACTCTATTTAGTTTGCCTTGTATATCCTTTTAACTTTGGTATAGACAAAGAAACCAAACAAAATACGTTTCGTTCATGGACCACTGACTCACGCGTTTTATTCATGTCCCGACCTACACCTGTAAACAGAACATAAATCAGTTTCTTTTGTTGTTCAATGATACATCATATTGGCGTTTTTGCATCAGCACATTGGTGTTGTTGCATCATCGATAAGAAACAGAGTGGTGTTGTTGCATCAATAGTGAGGAATTAAAACCACGAATTTATCGCTTCTTGATGATGCTACATGTATACCAATGACAATTTTTTAAAATATAGATCATGCGCTAACTGCATGTGTATGATTATAGAGCAACTCGTCCTAGAAATGGGTGTAAATTGGGAAAACAAAACATCGTACGAAAATCTATCACCGGAAGTCTGGCCATCTTGATGCAACAACACGGTGTTGTTGCATCACGATACCCCCCAGTGTATACAGTCACATTAATCTACAAAGATATTGTGTTGTAATATGGTTGCGATGTTATAGGTTTCTTTTCTTAAAGCACATGTCAATGAAATGCAGGACTTCCTCCTTATTTGATTTGTATGACATAATGTATAGGAACTTGTTTTCCTCAGTCATGTTAGTAAAGTCCTTATTTGACGTTTGAATTTTATCTAATAATATAGTGCGCTCACTTTCGTAGATTTTGCATCTCATAACAAAGTGCAGCTCATCTTCAACACAATTGTAGCTAGACTAGTTATCAAGAGATGTGATGTAGTCTATTGTAAAACATGCCATATGTTGGCATGGTTTCACTAACAAGTTTAACACATTTTCTATATGTTGCTTATGTCATATATAAATCACCTTTGTAATCTTGTCTATAATGGTGTGATTTTATTTACAGCCAAGCAATGACTTAGCCATTTGAAGAAACACATTCCCTGACTGCACACCATCTTTATTCAACAACATGAACCATTTTACAATACAGACAGCCATCTTTATGGTAACTATAGCAACAGGTGAGATACATTATATTTAATTTGTTTCATTTAAATTAATTTTTGAATGTTGTGTATAATTTAGCAAGTTACAGAAATAAGCTTTTCATTGTAATGTGGTTAATTTAGCATTTTGTGCATTTTGTATTTAACCACTACCATATATGGGCATGCATGAATGGTTATAATTTCGTTTTAAGTTGTCAATTGTGATTACTTGGAGATTGGAGTATACTGTACACCTCTATATATAAAGCCATCCGCTAATGATAACCTTACACCAATGTTAAAACCACCAGTTCTTCATACAATATTCAATAGAAATCCAATTTCTCTTATATCTGATATACCTGGATGCAAGATCTACTGTCTACCTATGTTTATAACAAAGATAAATTAGATGGATCTTCAATAACATCTAGTTAGTCAACTTGTCAATAGAACCACCTGAGACTTTGACAAAATCTGATCCAGCTAGTCATCCTTATATGACTGTTACACAGCTCCTATTTCCATCTACAGCATAAACAATAAATAATATGAGAAAGCCATGCTTTGTTAGTTTGATTGGTTCCTAAGGGAGATTGCTAGTGAGGGTAGATACTGTTGCTATCAACTCTATGCGCGGCTGATATAACTCTCTATAAGGGAGCTTATACTAAATCACAATTCCTTAATCCAATTTCAATTAATTTCCCATTTCACTTTGTTTTTTAATAGTTAATAACACATGTACATTAATTGAAACTTCTCATATAAAACAGAATATAAAAAATACAGGATAAGGATAAGTTTTATTAATTTCAATCTATTTATCTCATTTGATAATATAACAGGCCATTTGGTATTTTTGTATACCTGCTAAAAAAGGTAAAAAAGTAATTACCCAAGTAACATGAGAAAAATTAATTGATTCTAGGCCAGAGTTGCTTTGCTTGCTCCTTACCTTCCATTTGAACGCATTACGTTTTTCTCTATTAATACAAATGTCTTCTTTATGAAGTTGATTGATTTTATCCATTAGTTCTGAGTAAATATAAACCTCAATTAATGCTATGCTCCATCTACATTCCGTGAAACTTACAAATCGAGTATATTTATACAAAGTAACTGCAAACATAGATATCAAGTACCTTATGATTGATCTTGATGACATAATGTCTTCGTTCTGAATGGCATTACATTTCCATAAGTCCCCACTTTCTAGAGAACTAATCATCGCAATAACCCAAATGCCAGTAGGTAGTTACCAGTTTCCTCACCAGGTGGCTAATTATGGTCAGATAACATGACAAAAATGTAGTAGAAAGTTCCCCAAGACTTGAATATTCAACAGATTAGTTTTAGTTTCAATTTTTATACAATCTTTATGTGTCTTAAATGATAAGCCACATAAAAGACGTGATTAAAGACAGAAGTGAAATATACGTGCTTTTAAATGGACTATAGTCTACTCCTGAAATAAGCATTTTTTAACCTTCCCATGTATTCATGGGTAGGTTAAAATTTCACCTGAAGACCTGAAATCAAGTTGTCAGTTTTTTCTATATTTTTATTAATTGATGTTCAATAGACCATTTAACCAGATGCTGTTTCATTAGCAATGTTTTGTCTCATAATACGTCTATCAATATTAATGGATGAAAGCGATATATTATATGTGCTTAAAGGCGAAGATGATAAAATAGAATAATAAATATGCTGAGTGTGCCCTATGCCCCCCCCCTTATCAGTCTCTTAGACTGTTTTAAAAAGAAAGTGGAGGTGGTACATGATTTGTTTTAAAATTTAATATGTATATTTTAAAGATCTTTGGTAATTACATGTACTTTAGGGTTGTTTTGTCTCTGTAATATTGGTAAAGTAAAGCAATGGTCAGTCAGATAACATAAGTACTTAATACAGTGAAAGTGAAAGTGAAAACATATTCCTTATTAATGATTTTATCCCTCATGTTTGTATCAAGGTGAATCTCAAAATAAGATTAATTTACCTTTAACCTTTTTTAAATTTTAGCATCTGCATCGAAGCATGAATATTGCATGTCAGCGGTGACATCTTTTAATTGTCTTTATTTCATTTTACTTATTTTGCATGTTGTGTGTTGCTTGATTTAGATTATATTTCTTTTATTAGGAATGTTGTGGTAACTTATTATTTCATTTTCATGATATTGCAGTGAGCAGTCAGGGAGGTATGTAATTACTGTATGCTCCCTTGAAACATACAGATTAACAATGTGTGAATGCAATTGCTGAATCTTATCATTATTTACACATCTTCATTAACATTAAATATTAATTAAACAAAATCAATTAACCTATTGTAATTTGATCAAATCTTGATTTCTCACATCTCTCTATTAACATAACTTGCTAACACATATACTCATCTGAGAATGATGCAAAATAGTTTTTATCCAGTTTTACATGCACATGTAATATTTAGGAACATCACTTTACATTATTTATGCAGTGCTTATACATTTAAATAAGAGAGTAACTAATATCAGCATTCACGTCCATATTTAGTTTGTTACATCATCAACCTTCATCGGCTAGCATCAATTAGAGAAAAGTTTTCATCATAGTTTTTCTGATGCTTTCATGAGTATTCATAAATTTGTATTTCAGCTGAAGCCTCGGAGAATAATGATAATGAATGTATGTTAACAGCACCTCATTTTAGCACTTACTGTGTGACCTTGACCCTTAACAACTCTTTCTAACCAATAACAATGAATCATTTAATAATGAAGTTTGATTTCAACTTTTATCTGATTTTGAAAACAATCAAGAAAATATAAATTCTGTATTTTTCCTTTCTGTGTTTTGTGAATAGTCGTAGAATGTTTTCTCTTCTAGTCAACGGGTTGAAAATAGATGAGCACTTCCTGTTTGCTGAGTGAACATATTTAATTTTTTTTGTTACATGGAATTACATTTAATGTTAATTTTATTCAAGATATGTGTATGTATTTATTTACATGAAGCCCTGTGTTGATGTTGCTCTTTTATGATATTCTCCACTTTCCAGTATGATTTATTTCTTAAATACTATGTTTGTTATCAGATTTTTTATTATTCATTTTGTCACACAATTATATCACATATTTTTCTGTATCGTATATTAGAATGAAGTTTTAATGTTTATCTCACTGACTCATGTTAATCTTGTTTTATATTCCAGTGTCCAGCAACAACCCTCCAAGGTTTATTAACTTTCCATCTGTAGCGATACAGCCTGAGGATGCCCCTGCTAGTAAGTGTATATGTCTAGTTATTATTTTCTCATTTTCTTTTATTCTTTCTTCTGTCTTTCTGTTTTAGTTTCTAGCCAGAAGCCACCTCGATGGGTTGGTTCTGATCCTTTTGTATATCAAACACCAGAAGATACTCCAAATAGTGAGTTATAAAAGTGTACTTACAAGGATAGGTATCTGGGAGCTTTGAATTCCCTTATATTTGAATTCCCTGACATTTTGATCCCCCTACCCATCACTTAAATATGCACTATTCATTCGAAGAATCCTCACCATAGTTATGTAATCCTCACCATAGTTATGTTATCCTCACCATAGTTATGTAATCCACGCCATAGTTATGTAATCCTCACCATAGTTATGTAATCCTCACCATAGTTATGTAATCCTCACCATAGTTATGTTATCCTCACCATAGTTATGTAATCCTCACCATAGTTATGTAATCCTCACCATAGTTATGTAATCCTCACCATAGTTATGTAATCCTCACCATAGTTATGTTATCCTCACCATAGTTATGTTATCCTCACCATAATTATGTAATCCACACCATAGTTATGTAATCCTCACCATAGTTATGTTATCCTCACCATAGTTATGTTATCCTCACCATAGTTATGTAATCCTCACCATAGTTATGTTATCCTCACCATAGTTATGTAATCCTCACCATAGTTATGTAATCCACGCCATAGTTATGTAATCCTCACCATAGTTATGTAATCCTCACCATAGTTATGTAATCCTCACCATAGTTATGTAATCCTCACCATAGTTATGTAATCCTCACCATAGTTATGTTATCCTCACCATAGTTATGTTATCCTCACCATAATTATGTAATCCACACCATAGTTATGTCATCCTCACCATAGTTATTTTATGTTAGAACACCGGTGTTATACCAGAATCACCCACCTGTCTTTCAAAGAGTCTGTCAGTCAGTCGGCATTAGCTCCTTAAAATATGCTTTGTCTACATGCTTTAAGAGAATCACTGAACTCCTCAAGTAAACCGGAGCTTGTCATTTGCAGAATGACAATTTTCTTCAAATGGCCATTTTCTCTGACATCATCGTTGATGCAGTATTGACCAACATTATTAAAACATACAAAACTGCAAAATTGCCTTGTCAACTAACTCTGTATTCCGGGTAATATCTCATACAATAGAAAAATGGACGTTAAATAACTTTATTATTCTGCATTACAGAAGGATAGCTCTCAGCCCTCACTTCAAAGGCTTTTATTTTTAATTAGTGTCTCAAGATTTCTTTGTTAACATCCTAGGCGTGATTGAATTGTGAAGTCTCTTTAAGTCTATTTATATTATTTTGTTTATGGATTGTTGCAAAGCTGAAACAAAAAAGGAATTAATATATATTTTCTGAATTAGAATTACTTCCTTTATGCACTGAAAAGGAGTCATTTGAAGAAGGGAAAGCTGTATTTTCAAAGCAGTTTTTATTGGACTTTTAACACTTGAATCTCCCTTCATGTACAGGCATGTCACCTTTATATTTATATTTTCTTACAGATACTGTTCTTGGTACATTATATGCAGAAGATGAAGATAGTTCTCAACTAACATTTGGTATTGTTGGTGACCTAGCACAAAGCATTATAAGACTCGGGCCAACCACTAGTTTAGAAAAAATATTTCAATGTGAAATCATCCTAAAAGGGAACTTGGATCGTGAGGTAATGTTTTCATTCTTATATTATCTAATACATGTATCATTATTTCTAGGCAAGGTTTCATACTTGCCCCAGGGATTGTATTGGGAGTTTAAGAATCTGAAGTAAAGTCAAATATATTTGAGGAGAAGAGGATAATATTACATTAAGTCATATTTTAGATTCATGAAACTCTGAATTAGGATTATTTTGTGTGTTTAGTGAAATGTATCTGTACTTCATTTTCCATATTATTTGATTATACTTGCAGACTGTCCCTCGGTATTTCCTTTCTTTCTCAGTATCTGATGGCCCAAACACAGTAAGTACACGGTAATTTATCCATGGTTGTATATCGTAAACAATAATTTCAAATAAATATGAGTGATGCGTCACAACAAATTGAACGGGAAATAAACTGGTGGATGGCATCATAGAAAGCTAAGTGAAAGACATGAGCGTAGTGAGAAGACTGGGAAACTTCTGCATCCTTCTTCTATTGGGTACTGAGCTGCATGCCATTCTCTTGCCTTAGCCTCATCAACTAGGTCTTGGTACTCAGCTTTGTTGAGCTGGTGCGATATTTTCTGTCATGTCACCATCTGTATCCTCCATCACTGAGAGCTTTAGGGCAACTGCTGAGCAAGGAAGAAACATCCAACTACACTCAATGTATGGCAAATGACTGTACATTAAATCTAGGGCAACTGCTGAGAATGTAATTTGATGTACAGTCATTTGTCATGCACTGAGGGCAGTCAGATGTTTCTTCCTTGCCCCAAAATCTGAGGTTTGATGGAGTTGGTAGCAGGTCAGAGAAAGCTCTTAACTACTTTGTACTTTACATTTTCTTAAATTGTACTTTAACTTGCTTTGTTTACATATACATGTACTCTGTACTATTATTTCTTAAGCTTGATTTTTTAAATTATTTTTCATTTAGATCCAGAAATCTGCCACCCTGTATGTCACTGATGTGAATGACAATGCTCCTTCCTTCACCAACCTGCCCTACAGAGCTAACATTAAAGAGGTATGCTTTAGTTTCGTATGAGCATCTGCTGTTCAAAGAGAAATCATTACTTGGATACAATGATGTCATAGTTAGAGAACAGTGAATTTCTGTTAATGACTCTCAGGTCGTCGTAACAAACTTTCTTTTTTTGATCACTAGTAATGACATTTTAAGCTTCTTTCCAAACTACGTTTTTCACTTCAACATTCCAAAGTATTATTATAGATTATATAATAAATGTTAATGGCAGCTTAGGGTTGTTTTTACCTTTCTTGAGTCATTTGGGATAACACAACTTGCCATGGTAATATTTCAGACGGCCGAGAATGGGACGTCAGTGTTCAAAGTATCTGCTACTGATCCTGACGAAGGCTATGAGGGTAGTGTCGAGTACAGTATGAAGGTGGGTCTCTTGAAATATGTATAAACTCAAGTCTTTTGTATTATACCGTCCTTGGGTAACCTAACTGGCCAAGGCACAATTACACTGGTTAAGTAAAAGATATAAAACTGTATCTTGTCAATCAATGAAATGTTTAGATAAATGTATAGAAGTGAATTATTTTGAAAATTGTATTATTTGTATGTTACTGCATATCAAAACAAGGTATATATTATTTTTTGCATTTGAGGTTTTATTTTGGACTAAAATTTTGCAATTGTAATGTAAGCATTTTAAGTTGCATGAAAACATCTGTAAATAATGTTAACTTAGTGAATTTTCGTTAAGTGATATGAATGGCTAATACAAACTACGCAGTCACCACTGTATTTCCGAAAAATAAAAATAAAAAATGGAAAATAAAGAGAGTTTGAATTATTTCCAGGACAATTCCATTAGTCTTAGTCCAATAGCCAGCCTTTGCCAAGGAGGATTCACTTTTCAGAAAATTTCAATGGGGCAAAATTTGACAACTTTGCCCCAACATCAATTGAAAAGTGCTCAGAATGGTGGAAAACTGCATGATTTTGAAAGAATTTTTCGCTCAAACCCCCCAAAAAACCTGGCTATGAGCCTTATTCCTAAGTCCAGTATTATCAAACGCTCTCATCAGTTCTTTCACACTGAACCCCATTTCTCCTTTCCTTCAGTGTTAGTTCAATGTGTAATGTTTTACTGTATTGCACTCAGTCCTTTACAAATCACCCTCCAAAAAGTACATTTACAATGACTGCATATGGGGAATGTTTTTTGTAAAATATAAAGAGAGACAACTAACTTGACTTTTCATTCATTTTTAATTCACTCTAGATGATAACAGAGGTAGGAGGTTTTACATGTTAACCTACTTTACTGTACTGTATTACACCATACTGTACTGTATTGTATTTTAATGTACTGTACTAAACTGTACTTTTCCTTACTGTACTCTGTAATGCAAAAATCATTTCATGCTTCGTCTTTGAGAATCACATCATAATGTTTCACAGCATGAAATGATTTGCTGGTAGTAAGTCTTTCTTTAGCTACCTAGGGAATAGTTTGTCTTCCCTTTTTATTGTAAATTTTACATGTTTGTGAACACATACAATTAGAGATGGCTTGCTGGGGTTTGCTTTTTATTATCCCACCGAACGAAGTTCGAGGGGGATATAGAAAAGCTGTCCGTCCGTCCGTCCGTCCGTCCGTCCGTTCGTGTGTCCGGGCAATAACTCAAATACCGGTTGACGGATTTCATTCAAATTTTATAGGCTGATGCCTTATGGGTGTAGGACCTCTGCTCGAGAAGGAATTTACAATATGGCTGCTTAATTCAAAATGGCGGCCATTTTTCGGAAAAAATATAATCTTTAATAACTCAAATACTAGTGGATGGATTTGGTTCAAATTTTATATGCTGTTGCCTGGGTACAAAGGAGCCTTGCTCAAGAAGACATTTTCAAGATGGCCACCAAATTTCGAAATGGCGGCCATTTTTCGTAAAAAAACGTTATCTTTGATAACTCAAATACCATTGAATGGATTTGGTTTAAATTTTAGATGCTGATGCCTAGGGACATAGGAGCTCTGCTCGAGAAAGGAGTTTCAAGATGGCAGCTAAATTTCAAAATGGCGGCCATTTTCCATAAAAAAACATTATCTTTGATAACTCAATTACCATTGAATGGATTTGGTTCAAATTTTACATGATGATGCCTAGGGACATAGGAGCTCTGCTGGAGAAGGGATTTTTAAGGCGAGAGCTAAATTTCAAAATGGCCGCCATTTTTCATAAAAGAACGTAACCTTTGATCACTCAAATACCAGTTGACGGATTTGGTTCAAATTCTATATGCTGATGCCTAGAGGCAAAGAAGTTCTGCTCAAAAATGAATTTTCAAGATGGCCACTAAAATTTCAAAATGGCCACCATTTTTCTTAAAAAATGTAATTAATGATAACTCAAATACCAGTGGATGGATTTGGTTCCAATTTTATATGCTGATGTTTAGGGAAAAATGAGATCTGCTTCAGAAGAAATTTCAAAGGCGTTAGCTGAATTTCAAAATGGCTGCCATTTTTCATTAAAAAGTAATCTTTGTAAAACCCAAATACCATTAGATGGACATTCTCTGCTAAAGAAAAAATCTAAAGATGACAGCTGAATTTCAAAATGGCAACCATGTTTCATAGAAACATAATCTTTGATAATTCAAATACCAGTGGATGAATTTGGCTCAAATTTTTTATCAAAACATGTTTTGTTCGGTGGGATTTGCTACTCCGTGGAGTTGCTGTTTTTCTAGTTATACTAGGTGTGGTATATCAAATTCAGGAATGGTTTGTGAATCAAGCTTATGGATATGTGACTTAACAAATGTAAATTGTTTCTCAGTGCTTCTATTTTATTTACTGTTTGTCTTTTATGGAATACTTGCTAATTATACTTGCTAATGTATAGGGTATCCATTAAGTTTATTTTTATTTACAATGCAAAGTCTGTTTAAAGATACTTTATGGACACCCTATATATTATTATAATATTAAGAATTATATATATATATTATCCAGGCATGTTTTAAATATAAGAATGCTCCAAAACAGTATGTCATTAATGGGTATTTGTGCATGGTGGTATATTATCTAGGTTCATATTTATATTGCCTTTGATGTGACATTCATCATAGTTAATTATCCCATCGAACGAAGTTCCGAGGGATATAGGGAACGCCTCCGTCCGTCCGTCCGTACGTACGTCCGTACGTACGTCCGTACGTACGTCCATCCGTCTGTCCGTCCGTCCGTCCGTCTGTCCGTCCGGGCAATAACTCAAATACCGTTGGCCCGATTTTGTTCATATTTTGTACACATATACCCTATGGGGGTAGAAGTTCTGCTCGAAAGCCGATTTTCAAAATGGCCGCTCATTTTGAAATGGCGGCCATTTTAGTGCCGATTTTACAGTAATTTAGGTGTAATATGTAAAACTGTAATAGCAATATGTTTTAAATGTAAAAAAATTATAAAGGACATTAATAATGCTACAAATGTAGATATTAAAGAAGCACATGGCAGCAATCTTGAAAAATGGCGGCCTTTACTCGTCATTTTACGATTTTTGCTATAACTCAAAAAATAGTGGAGCGATTTTGTTCATATTTGGTATGTGCATACTATAAGCATTGCACACTGTCTAAAGACACTTTTGGTAGAAGGCGGCCGTTTTGAAAAAAATTTTGAAAAATGGCCGCCATTTTAATGTATGTTACTATAACTCGAAAAGTAGTGGAGCGATTTTGTTCATATTTGGTATGTGAATACTATAAGCATGGCACACTGTCCTATGACACTTTTGGTAGAAGGCGGCCATTTTGAAAAAAAATTTGAAAAATGGCCGCCATTTTAATGTATTTTACTATAATTCGAAAAGTAGTGGAGTGATTTTGTTCATATTTGATATGTGAATACTTTAAGCATGGCACATTGTCTAATAAAACTTTGGGGAGTAGTCGGCCATTTTGAAAAATGGCCACCATTTTTATGTGTGTTATTTTACAAGTACGTGTGCGATTTTTCAAAAATTTTAGAGGTGGCTACTTAAAAGCACATTATTTCTTCTGATGACAACTTGGCTAGTGAGCAACCATTTTGAAAATGGTGGCCTTTCTGGTGTGTTGTTTTATGATATTTGCTATTCGTTTGTAAAAATGCCAGCCATTTCTGTTCGATGGGATTCGCTACGCTTTGGCGTTGCCGTTGTTCTGGTTTTAGAATATTTTGTAATTTTCTAAGTATATGGATGTTTGAGAAAATTTGGTTCATCAAGCATGACCATATAATATGTTTAGGTTAGTTTCCTATTATTATATGATAATTAATACCCTATACTATATATTATGCATTTATTGTCATTAAGCAAGATTTGTTGGTTTGGTAGGGAGGGGGTTGCACTGATTTTTTATTATATCAAGTGCTTACATGAACCTTTTTATTAAAACTTTAATGCTTATTTGAGGTCAATTCCTTCAGGGCATGTGGATGAGTAAACTGGAGGACCATATGAAATATTTGCTCTATAATCACTGTGTACCTTATTGAGCAATTCTGTATTACTCACTTCAATGGCTTCATACTGTGCACTCGGTCTTATTATAAATATCATATTATTCATAGAATGATCCAATGACACATTATTTATAGTATATAGTTTTTAGCTCATATTAGTTCGCAAGTATACTATACTGTATTTGCTTACTAAGCATGTTCATGGTTTTATTTGGTAGAAGAAAAACAAATTTGAGTTAGATTCATATATGGTTTGAGTATTCTTCATCTATGGTGACTGCCATTTAGCAAAATAGTGCAATATAATTTTCCTGATGTCATTGGACAGGATATCTCCAGCGGAAATTTTTACACTATTTCCTGAAAAGTGGCGGCAGTCACTATTTGTTTTTGTTTTTTTATTATATACCTCATATGTACTCTGTAAACAAAAATAAAAAGTCAGTTTCAATATTTAATGTTGAGTGTTGACAGTTTTTTATTGGCATTTAAAGGCATTTACCATTCAAACTCCAATATTCCTTGATAGCAAGGAAGATGAAAAGTACTATTGAGTGGTCACATGACCTAAATAAACCAATGAGCATCTAGAATACACATGGGGTATACAATAATGATTTAATAATGGTGTACTAAATATATATTATTTTTATTTTTTATTTTAGACTCCAACTACAATGTTTACAATTCAAAAAATAACTGGAGAGGTTACGCTGAATGGAAATTTGAACTTTGCAGACAAGAGCTTTTATCAACTAGAAATCATGGCACAGGTATGCTTATGGAATGTTTATACAAATGTTTTTATAATGTGTTATATATTGACAGGGATTTCATTATCATCAGGCAATGGGTGATTTTCTGTTTGATCGCAAAAATCACCTGTTGTATTAAAAATATTTGCAATGGTTCCTAATATATTAAAATAATATATTAAATGATAATCTCCGATAGTTTATTCCTGTTGTTTTCATTATTGATTTTCGTTTATTGCTTATTATGTTAGATATTCAAATGCAACATCTGACTGAACTGAAATTTTAGGATCGAGGAGTAGAAATCAAACTTAACAGTACAACAGACCTGGTGATTAATGTGGAGAATGTACAAAGCAGACCTCCCATCTTCCTCAACAGACCGTATGTCAGTAGTGTCAAAGAAAATGTAGCTGTGGTATGTTCTCAATTATTTCGAAACGAAAACGTGTGGTTTTAATTTGAGGATGTGGTTAGGGATATAGGTCATACTACCATTCATAAGTTATTCTAGTCACGCTACTGACCACATGAGTTTAATTATGTAATAAGCTTGCCCATTTTCATTTTTGGTATTCATTCTCTTATTACCACAAACAAACATATCTAAACAACTCTATAGGCCTCTGGGCACTAAATATGATATAGCATACCGTATAATGTGCAACTTTGACATAATAATGAAGCATAATCAGTTTCTGTGCGATGATAGAGTTAATATATTCCTATAATCTATTTATTCCAGGAAAAACCTGTGATTCAGGTGACTGCAATGGACAGAGATACAGGTGTTCCTAACCAGGTCAACTATACTATAGTAGGAGGTCAGTGAATTTATATTATCTCTGCTATTAGTTGCTGCACAAGGCATACCATATTTTACAGTAAAATGTATTTCTACTGAAAAATCACAAAATTGTTTATTGACCTTCATCATAGAGAGTTTGCTCTTTCATATTAATGAGTCCTCAATGTCTAAAGGAAAAGTTGCAAATTGTCAATGTATGCCAACTTGTGACTACACTGTATACATGGCTAACACATGGGTCTGAATTGTATATACAATGTAACCACAGCTAAGGAGGAGTTACAGATGAACAATTCAAGTGGTTGATTCTTGTTCTATATGGCTTTAACTTATCCCTAATGCTAATGTTAAATACATGGTAAAATGGCAAATTTATGATCATTATATATATTTGATAATAATACATTTGCTTTGCAGATAATGAGTGGTTCCAGATAGACAATTCCAGCGGCTGGATATCAGTAAAGAGTCACATAGACAGAGAAGAGCAAAGTATCCTGAATAACTTTGGTGTCATCGAGTTTGATGTCTTTGTAAGTACATGTATCATTAGTAAACCAAACTGTTGCTGAATTATATATAGTACATGTACATCCGATAAATGATGAAATACCCCCTGCATTGGTGCAACCTATGACAAATCAAACCAAGATCCACCCCTCAGATAATATCTCAATGAATGTAAATGTACAACATGTTTTACATTTTACATTCATATGTCATCACTAGAAGTGATGACATATTTTTAGTTTCCAAGTTTTTGTGGACAGTGTTCGACGGTTGGCATTTGGAGGTCAGTGTCTGTAACAAATGGCGGGTGGGGACATTTTGCATGCCTTGCTAATATTTATAATAATAAATGAAAAGATATATTGATAAAATTTGAAAAAAGAGGATGAGACCACATTGTAATATTCTGTTCTAGGCTCAGGAGGTGACTGACACACCAATGGGGATTACAACAGCTACAGCTAAGGTGACAATCAACATCTTAGATGAGAATGACAACACACCAACATTCTCACAGGACTGGTATAATGCAACTGTACAAGAGAACACACAGCTGCATGTTCCTATTACATTCATTCCTGCTGGACTGCAAATGGGAGTCACAGACCTGGATGAGGTTAGTTTATTTATTTATTATACAGTTCTCATGGCTTATAGAGGTTGCCATTTGTGTCAACATTTAATATTTTTTCTCTGAGTATTGAAAGAATTTATAGTATTTTTAACACACATGACAATGATGGCGAATGCGCTAAAAATAATGACATTGAAGGATTTCTAAAAGAAATGAAGAGATTCACCCAATCTGTGAATTTAATCTATCCATTAAAACCAAATTTCAATGGATAGTGGTACATAATGGACACTGCCCCTTGCCAAATTCAGTTGTTTGTCAAATGATTCTGCTCGTTTTTCAGGGGGAAAGTGGTACCTTTGATCTAAGTGTTGAGCAGGGCACAGTTGCCTTCACTGTGTTCTCAGTTGAGCCCAACACTGTACGCAATGATGCAACATTACTTATTCGGGTAGAAAACTCCACCTATCTTGACTATGAGCAGAGAAAGTCTGTCATGTTCCAGGTGAGAACATAATCACTGGTTTTACACTCTTCAAAATAAAATGTTGGAACCTTTTGGAATTTTTCGAGGTTGCAACAATTTGTTGCGGAAATAGATACTACTTATCGTTGAAGAGTGGATTACCAATGATAATAGAAATTCATCAATGAATTCTGATAGAAGTATGTGTATGTGGATCAACCTTTAGTAGTGTGAAAGTCAAAGACATAGATGTTTTACTAGGTTAGATAAAAGATGTATTTTACTATTTTGTTATTGACTAAATTATTTATTATTCACAATTAGCATTGAAACACAGAATAATTTTTTATATTCCCCTTTCCCAGATATGGGCCAAGGAGACAGGAACACCTGAAAAACATGAGAACTTCACTATGGTGTACTTAGAGATTGAAGACATGAATGATAACATTCCTCAGTTCACCAAGGAGGAGTATAAGACTGAGCTATATGAGAACTCACCCAAGGGGACCAATATAACAACAATTACAGCCACAGATGCTGATTCGGGGGAATTTGGCAAAATCACATATTCCATTAGAGGCTCTGGAGCTAACATGTAAGTGCTGCTGTTTCCTCAACTGTTATCACTTGCTACATATAAATATGAGCCTGCCATTATCATAAATGTTAATGGTTTATTATATTCAGTTAAACCTGTATATAGTGAACACTTATGGGGTCATAAAGTGTTCACTATAGATAGGTGTTCACTACAGAGAGCAGATTTTATACAGGAGTCAATGTAAAATGTGTCTTGAAGTGGTGTATGCTATAGAGAGGTGTCCATTAAGACAAGTTTTACTGTACATAGTATACCGTATTTTATTCTAATCTTACTTAATGCACTTGATTTTGTGTTTTAGGTTCCACATCGACCCAGACAGTGGTAACATCAGTGTTACAGTAAAAACTACAACATTATCTCAAATGTTTCTCCATTAAACATTTAACTATGACTTCAATGTTGTGTTCTAGGTTCCACATCGACCCAGACAGTGGTAACATCAGTGTGACAGTAAAAATTACAACATTATCTCAAATGTTTCTCCATTAAACATTTAACTATGACTTCAATGTTGTGTTCTAGGTTCCACATCGACCCAGACAGTGGTAACATCAGTGTGACAGTAAAAATTACAACATTATCTCAAATGTTTCTCCATTAAACATTTAACTATGACTTCAATGTTGTGTTTTAGGTTCCACATCGACCCAGACAGTGGTAACATCAGTGTTGCTGTAGATGCTGACTTGGACCATGACCTCCTGGACAGGGAGAAACAAGACACCTACTACCTTACCCTGCAGGCCAGGGATGGGGGAAACCAGCGCAACACTGTACAGCTAGAGATACAGCTGCTGGATGTTAATGACAATGCACCATCTATCAGGAGGAGTAAATATGAAGCATACGTGCGAGAGAATCAACCTACTCTTGAACGTCCTGTCATAGTTGAGGTAATTACAATACCAATACAAAGTACATGTACAGCTTTTTTACAATAATGCATGTGCATAAATTCAGTAGTTGTCAAAGGGTAATCTTCAAGTGCTTATCACTATTAGAGTATTATTAGCACACTCTAGCAGTCGCAAAAAAGACTGGGGTGGGAATATGGAACAAAAGGTATGTGAAATACAAGGGATGCTAATTGAGAGCATTTTCATCAGCATATCTTGATAAGTCAATTTAAACCCCACTTAGGCAGCAACACAATAGAATGAGCTGTGGTTCATTTTGAAGAATGTCCAGCTGAAACAAAGAGGAGTGCATTATTTTTCTCTTGTTTTTAAAGAATGTACACTTGGCAAGCTATCCAAAATCAGTGTGGCACAAAAGAAGATTGACTGTCACATGCAGTGCACTAAAGCCTAACTATTCCTCCTAAAAACCAATACTCATAGTTTATCCCTAATGTAAAAAATATATTCCTTTTAGGCTGAGGATAAGGACTTGACCCCCAACAATATCATAGAGTACAGTATTATAGAATCATCAGATCCACATCACAACTTCACCATTGATAACACTACAGGAAGGATAGACCTCAGTGGGCCTTTGGACTATGATACCATGGACCCACAACTGGATGGTAAGGCCGCATTTTGTGTGGGTATCTCTTGTGTGATAATTAATAAAGGGTGAAGTTACTAGATGTTACCAGATTTTTAAAGAAGGTGAAAATGTGATTTTTTTGTAAAGTTAATTGCTTTCATAGAAACAGTTGGAGACTGTTGAACATATTAGCTAGTAAAACCAAATACATGTACAACAAATAATCCAGTACTAATATACAAATATTTCATTTTATTGAAGTGAATACCTGTGCATCTTTCACAGTTTATTTCCAACAAAGTTAGAAGTGCTATTGAAAGATCATGTTGTGAAAGTACCAAAGGTATTCACCAAAAACAGAATGAAATATTTGTTTTATTATATAAGCATCATCCCCATTCAATGTTTATTAGCTAGCTCAACAGAATACAAGAAATGTTTAATACTTGTTTTCATTCTCCACTAGGTAAATATAACTTAGTAGTATTAGCTGTAGACAAGGGTATCCCCCCACTTAACAGTACTGTGGAGGTCCTGGTGAATGTAGAAGATGAAAATGATAACCAGCCTTACTTCAACTCTACAGAGGGACATAGCGTTAGCATACCTGAGAATACCACAGGAGGAAACAAAACAGGAGGTAATTCTTCTTCTTCTTTATCCAATTTACGTGTTAGTGTACTTAACACGATGGCACTTTAATGCTGCCTTTGGTCACTAGATACATTGGTACTGGTAAGGGACCATGAATCATTGAATTACATCATTACAGTATTTTGATTGGTTTAAATATTCCAGTTTATACAGTATCAGTTTTTGACTCCGTATGTATAAGGGGGGATTTTATATGTAATTGAATATGAAATGGAGAATTTTCAATTTTTTGTATTATTGATTCAGTGTACAGTTTTGAAAAATTTAAAAACATTACATTTGAAAAAGAAATACTTTGAAATGATTTGTTTATCACTGACAGTTTGTTGTAGAATATTAAAAAGGTTCCATAATTCACATTTTGTTTGTTATTTCAGACACAAAGGTTGCTGTGGTAAAAGCCTATGATGATGATAGACCAGGTACACCTAACAGTGACATCATATATCGTATAGACAGTGGCTCGCAGGATAAATATGGCATTGAGGCTAACACAGGGCTCATTTATGTATACCCTCGGGCAAACCTTGACCGAGATGCCTTTGGAGAAAGCTACACCCTTCATGTGTTAGCCATAGACAGGGGAACACCACCACAGACTGGATCAACAATTGTGGAAATTAACATTACTGATATCAATAATAAGATCCCAGAGTTTAATCCAGCCTCAAAAGAGGCAAAAGTTTTTGAAAATGCAACATTGATGACGATCGTAACTGACTATCCTGCCAGTGATTTAGATTGGAATGCTGACCTTAAGTATGAGATCTTAAAGAATGAGACTGTAGGCCTGAATGAGTTTGGTAGTGATGTGGATAATGCAGTTGTCAGGGTAGGTTAATGTTTGTTGCAATGTTGTCATAGCTACAAAATCTCCCGAAGGAGAAACGTCTCACCCATGTAGATCTCTTTCCAGACATCTGATAATAATGAGTTATATAAATTTTTATTTTATAATATTGATAAAATAAACATATTTGAATCTCTTCAATAGTTTACAATTCATGTTCATTAATTTACATGTATATCTAATCTACATTATACACCTCATACCTTATTGATGTGTGCTCCAATTATATTTCATTGTTTGTGAATAATTACCCATGTACATGTTATTACAGGATCTGTTTGATGTGTACGCCAACAATGGTTCAGTGTATGTGAAAAGTGGGCTTGACAGGGAGGCTGTACAGATAGTTACCCTCACACTACAAGTCACTGATAAAAATGGTTATTCTCCCAAACTTCAGCAGAACACAGGTAACTATGGCCAAATACCATGTGGTACATTTCTTGTAACACTCGCAAATTAAAAGTTGCTGAGTTTATTATGTCACCACCAAAAAGTGATGACACATTGTTATGGTCTTATGGTTTTTTTGTGACGGCAGTTGGCAATCAGCGGTTGGCGATCAACAGTTGGTGATCAGCGGTTGGTGGTTGGCGATTGACTGTTGGCGTCTGTGACAAATTCTTAAAACTTCCAATAACTTAAAAATACTGTTTAGACTGACTTTAATTTTTTTTAAATCATCTACAAATAATTTTCAGAAGTTCAAATCTGACTTTACATTTAATATTTGACCTTCAGTGACCTTTTCAAGGTCAGAAAAGGTCAAAAAGGTCTTTTTGAACTTGCTTCAAATCAACCAAATTTATTTTTGAAAATCATCTACAATTTATCAGAAGTTCAAATCTGACTTTAGATTTGAGAAAGGACTTTTTCAACTTGCTTCAAATTGACCAATTTTTTCAAAATCATCTAGAAGTTCTCAAAAGTTCAAATATGACTATAGATTCGACCTTTAATGACATTCTCAAGGCCAAAAAAAGTATTTGACCTGCAATGACCATCTCAAGGTCAATAAAAGGGTCATTTTTCAGCTTGCTTCAAATTCAAAATCATCTACAAGTTCTCAGAAGTTCAAATCTGACATGGTGACATTTTGTTATGTTAATGCCTTGTTGGTCTTTCATTTCAACTGCTTGAAAAAATCACTTTTTGTGTCTACTAAGTATGTGTATGACTTGTGTATATGTGTATGAGATCTGTATGTAACAGTTTAGATGGATAGGTCAATTTGAAAATGTGCATACCCTCAGTGTCACAGAATAGTACATAATAGGCTCTGAATAGGAGAAATGAATATATTATATTGTAGTTTAATGCTGGTAAGGTCTGATTGGACCTCACTAGTAACTGTGGTAGCCTATCATAAGAGTTTCACTTTGAAAGCATGAAATTTGATGACTGCTCCAGGTCTGTAGCCAGCTTTTGCCAAAGGAGGTTCACAGGATTTTCAGGAGGGGTTCACATTTGACAGCTTTGGCAAAATGGCAATTGAAAAGTGCTCAGAATGGTGAAAACTGCATGATTTTGAAAAAATTTCATTCAAGAATACTGGCTACGAGCCTGCTGCTCGGTGTTCTCAGTATTATGATTAGTGATGGTTAGACCAAAGATTATCTCTGAGTTTGGATAAAGCTCTCCAGAAACAAAATCCTACTGTTTAAAAGGAAATATACACACAAATATAACAGCCAATTGAAATATATATTGAAAAAGCTTTATCCAATCATGTTCTGTTCATCTCACCTTATTTTTGTTAAACATTTCTCTATGTACATGTAGAAATAAAGGGAGGCTGAGATAATATACAACCATATTAGAATTATTTTGTAGTTGTACAATTTAGTGTCTTATACTTCCACTTGACTGTTTCTATGCAATGATCAGTGTCTGGGTATTTGTCTTTGAATAACATTGTATGGTAAGGGAAGGCTGGGTTGGATCTTCCAGGGGAAGAACTTTCCAGCGTTTCATCTGTGTATTCCTTATAGCCTTCAATGTTTAACCTTCCTTCATGAATCATCTTAGTTTTCATCTCGTGTGTGTATACCTTCTCAGCCATCTGCATTCGTACACATTGAGGATTTTCTGGTTCGATTAAGCATTGTTTAGTCCAGTAGTCAAGTAGTTTGTTGAGCTTTGTGACTTCTCGAACCATGCGGTCTTCTCCAAAGATTTTAAGTTTTTTCCAGAATGTTTTGTTGTAGTGTTGGAACATAAGAGCATCGGCTTTGTTCCATTTGTTTATTAGACCTTTATAGTGTTTGTTGGTTATTTCCTCATGTTGGCGTTCTACTTTATTGAAATACACAACATCCTCTAATTCCCAGTTTAGCATACCAGCCAATAAGACAAGACTCTCTTTCATGTAATCTGTTATCATTATAAAATTAAAATCCCGATCAATTTCAGCAATTTTCTCCTGAATTGCATAATCATCATCCAAATCTGGGAGTTCTAATCCAAACTCGAACATCATTTCACTTTTGCTTGAAACATTCCAGCCTCCACATAGTTTCGTTGTTGTAAATTCATCTAAGTGATCTAGAAAATAAAACATTTTCTGAGATTGTTCTATGGTTTTTAATCCGTAGCATTTACCAAATCCATGATAGTTAAAACCAGATGGAAACTGAGTGTGAGGACTTCTTATTGTCGTTGTAAAGAATGTGTCCTTTGGCATGAGTTTTCTGACACTTGTGTGATATCTCATATGGAAACATAAAACATTGTATTCGTGGTAATTTTCTGAGAGAGGAATAAGGCACTTCTCCGTAAAAACATTGGGGTAGCATACTCGATGTCGCCAAAATGGCAGTGCTAGTGTAAGGTTAGCGATGTCAGCATGACGGAAGAATATATTCTGCACTGTACTACTTGCAGTTTTGTGTAGTTTTAAGAAAAATACATTTTTTCGTTTCTGTTTAATGACTTCTTCTGGAGGATCAAGTTGTGGAAATATAGGTTCATTGATATCTAAACCATTACCATCATTTTCAATGTCTTCATCTTGTCTATGATCTCCAATATCTTCTTCTTTTCCATCTTCAATGTTTTCATCTTTTCTATCTTCATCAATGTCTTTTTCATTTCTATCTTCTTTATCAGCAGTATCTTGATCATTTTTGTTTTTCAACAATATTGATATGAATCCATCAAGTCTTTCCTTTTCATCTTCTGCTGAATATTGTACATCCACTTTAAGCTGTTCATTATGTGTAGATTCCTCCCTTGATTGCTGGGATTTTGGTTGGCCAACTGTTTCCATCAATTCATCAGGCTTGTTGTCAATCTTACTGATGAAAACAAGTAGGAAAACACATATAAATACAAGGAGTAGCATTAGCTGCTTCCTGTTGCAGACCATATCCCTCTTGAACATATCTAATATATATAGAAATGTGACTCTATGACGTCTCGGCGGATGTAGAAATCTTCCTAACTGAAGCACATTTGTGCCTTGGTTCTCCTGCTGAGTAGTTGATGCAACTTATTTTTTATTTTAATATCCAGGTCAATTTTTCAATACTTGGTTTCAATTTAATTTCAATGAGAGTTGTTTCATTAGGATAAAATAATTGGTATATGAAAAGGTCAAATTTCATATTATTGGGCGAAAAAAATTGATCAATATTTAAAACAGCAAGCTGGCACACTTTAAGTGTAATATATCATTTGCCATTTGGAGCATTAGAATAGACTGTGATTAATTTATACCCTTTGTTTCTAATGAAATGGTTGAATTAATGTAACTGACACAATGTTAGGCTGACCTCTAAATTGTACTTACACATAAGGTACCAGAATCCCAATTGCAAAATTGACATATCATGTATTATAAGAATTATTACTCATCTTTTGAATTTAATATACAACCTCTATATTTCAAAAGTCATAGATTGAATCAATGATAATAATGTCTTACAATAATATACATGTAGATAGACTTTGAAATTTTGAGTTGCTGTTTTCAATAAAGGGTGAAGGGGAATTAGTCTTAAATTCAACCATTTAAGAAATAAGGAAGAGACTTTGATTTTCACATAGTAGATCTCGCTTGCTGTGATGGAATATATTTGTATATTTGCAGCTATATTAGTAATTGAGCTGCTAGATGTGAATGACAATCCACCCGAGTTCCAACCTTCAAACATTTACATGGCAGCTGTTTCTGAGGCATCCAGTGTCGGGGCCACAGTCACCAAGGTGGATGCCCTAGATAGGGATAAGAACAATGGACAGATGGCTTACAGGATTGAAGATGACCCGTTTGATACTTTCCAGTTTAAGAATGAATTTAGTGGTAAGACTGTATACATTTGTTCTTCGAAATAATGTAAGATCATTATGATTTTTGATTTTAAAACTTGCTCTGTAAAATACTCTTATTATCTAACTAAGTGTACCTGTACATACATAAAGAAATTGAAAATCAAAAAATGTTTGTTTACACAAAGGTATCAAGATGGATACACTTATGTATTATTTATGATGAGGCACTTCCATGGAAAATTATTTTATCAACTTTCTGTATTATTTCAAAGTAATCAATGGCATGTATAATCCAGGTGAAATCACACTTAGGAAGTTAGTAGACCATGAAACTCACCATTGGATGAACTTCACTATCATGGCCATAGACTCTGGTACACCTGCACTAAACAGCACGGCATCTATACATGTGAGAATTGAAGACACAAATGATAACAGCCCTGAGTTCACCATGTTTAACACAAGCGTCATGGTTTGGGAGAATGCTACACTCGGAACTGAAGTCACAACAGTTGAAGCTGTAGATAAAGATAGTGGGAATTTTGGAACTGTTTGGTATTTGATTACTGGACATGAGGAGAAATTTACCATCCATAATGAAACTGTGAGTACAACATTTTTTTTTTTATTAATTAATTTATTTGTTAAATTGAAACATTTATAAAGTTTTTACATAATATACAATAATTATGTCACCACCAAAAGTGGTGACATATTGTTATGGTCTCCGTTTTTTTGCGACGGCGGTTGGCGTCCGGCGGTTGGCGTCCGGCGTCCGGCGTCTGTAACAATTTCTTACAACTTCCTATAACTTAACAAATACTGTTTAGACTGACTTCAATTTTTTTCTAAATCATCTACATGTTCTCAGAAGTTCAAATCTGACTTTAGATTTGACATTTGACCTTCAATGACCTTCTCAAGGTCAAAAAGGTCTTTTTTCAACTTGCTTCACATTGACTAAATTTTTTTTCAAAATCATCTACATGTTCTCAGAAATTCAAATCTGACTTTAGATTTGACATTTGACCTTCAAATCTGACTTTAGATTTGACATTTGACCTTCAATGACCTTCTCAAGGTCAAAAAAGGTCAAAAAGGTCTGTTTTCAACTTGCTTCAAATTGACTAAATTTTTTTTCAAAATCATCTACGTGTTCTCAGAAATTCAAATCTGACTTAAGATTTGACTTAAGATTTGACATTTGACCTTCAATGACCTTCTCAAGGTCAAAAAAGGTCAAAAAGGTCTTTTTTCAACTTGCTTCAAATTGACTAAAAAATTTTTTCAAAATCATCTACGTGTTCTCAGAAATTCAAATCTGACTTTAGATTTGACTTAAGATTTGACATTTGACCTTCAATGACCTTCTCAAGGTCAAAAAAGGTCAAAAAGGTCTTTTTTCAACTTGCTTCAAATTGACTAAAAAAAATTTTCAAAATCATCTACGTGTTCTCAGAAATTAAAATCTGACTTTAGATTTGACTTAAGATTTGACATTTGACCTTCAATGACCTTCTCAAAGTCAAAAAAGGTCAAAAAGGTATTTTTTCAATTTGCTTCAAATTGACTAATTTTTTTTTCAAAATCATCTACATGTTCTCAGAAATTCAAATCTGACTTTAGATTTGACATTTGACCTTCAATGACCTTCTCAAGGTCAAAAAAGGTCAAAAAGGTCTGTTTTCAACTTGCTTCAAATTGACTAAAAAATTTTTCAAAATCATCTGCGTGTTCTCAGAAATTCAAATCTGACTTTAGATTTGACTTAAGATTTGACCTTCAATGACCTTCTCAAAGTAAAAAAAGGTCAAAAAGGTCTTTTTTCAACTTGCTTCAAATTGACTAAATTTTTTTTCAAAATCATCTACATGTTCTCAGAAATTCAAATATGACTTTAGATTTGACATTTGACCTTCAATGACCTTCTCAAGGTCAAAAAAGGTCAAAAAGGTCTTTTTTCAACTTACTTCAAATTGACTAATTTTTTTTTTCAAAATCATCTACATGTTCTCAGAAATTCAAATCTGACTTTAGATTTGACATTTGACCTTTAATGACCTTCTCAAGGTCAAAAAAGGTCAAAAAGGTCTGTTTTCAACTTGCTTCAAATTGACTAAAATTTTTTTTCAAAATCATCTACGTGTTCTCAGAAATTCAAATCTGACTTTAGATTTGACTTAAGATTTGACATTTGACCTTCAATGACCTTCTCAAAGTCAAAAAAGGTCAAAAAGGTCTTTTTTCAACTTGCTTCAAATTGACTAAATTTTTTTTTCAAAATCATCTACATGTTCTCAGAAATTCAAATCTGACTTTAGATTTGACATTTGACCTTCAATGACCTTCTCAATGTCAAAAAAGGTCAAAAAGGTATTTTTTCATCTTGCTTCTAATTGACTAAATTTTTTTTTCAAAATCATCTACATGTTCTCAGAAATTCAAATATGACTTTAGATTTGACTTTACATTTGACTTTACATTTGACATTTGACCTTCAATGACCTTCTCAAGGTCAAAAAAGGTCAAAAAGGTCTTTTTTCAACTTGCTTCAAATTGACTAATTTTTTTTTCAAAATCATCTACATGTTCTATGAAATTCAAATCTGACTTTAGATTTGACATTTGACCTTTAATGACCTTCTCAAGGTCAAAAAAGATAACATAATATTGTGAGCAACTAGGTGGTGACATTTTGTCATGTTAATGCCTTGTTAATGGTTATAATGGTACTTGCAGGTATACAGAACTTATTGGTTATAGATTTTACTATTTTTAGTTTCCAAATATGTATAAACACTAGTATCATTTAGGAGGAGTACCTTAAGGAAAAACAAGAAATTATTAGTTGTGCATGTAAAATCATATCATACTGGAGAAAATCTATTTGTAAACCAAGCCTCGGACAAGCCAAATTAAAGCATTCAAGATAACATTCTTAACTTGAGTATATCAGTTTAACATTCATATACCAGGTTGATCAAAAGTACTGAAGAATTTCATATCACAACATCACATCCTATCGTATTTATATGTACATGAAAATATATATGACTTCAGGGAGTTATCACAGTGGCTGGTGAACTAGACAGGGAGACCAAGGCTGATTACACCATCAGTGTTGAGGCAAGAGATAGCCCCGACTCTCCCGAGAACGAACAACGTATTACCTCCCGTACAATGATGATCCGTCTCCGGGACGTCAATGATTTCACTCCCAAATTTGCTAAATCAAATTACAATGCAAGCTCTGTAGCGGAGAATGCTGCTACTGGCACTCAAGTTATCACAATCACGGCTATTGATTTAGATGAGGGAGAGAATGCAAGAATTGTGTATTCACTGAATCAAACAAGACAAAATATGACGGCCGGCTTATTTGAAGTTGTTCCTGATACTGGAACCATAAAAGTTGCGTCAACTCTAAGAACGACACTGGGTTGGGTTTATATGACGCTAGTGGCAACAGATAGTGGTACTCCTGCTCTGTCTAGCTTCACAACTGTACATGTCTACATTGAAGATGTGAATGATAATGCGCCTGTGTTCACACATCCACCAGCCAATGAAACTATATTTGTCTTAGAGGTATTCATTTCTCTCTTATAATTCTCTTCATTAATTTTTAAAATGATTCCTTTCATTTTAAATACTGAAAATTACTCTATATTTACAGATTGACCAAAACATAATATCAACTTTAATGTTCTGATTAAGAGTCTCTGCATGAAGTTAACAACCATGCTCATTAAGGACATGCACTTGGAAACAATACTCTTGGCTATATATATTTGGCTACTACACATGGTGCACATGAAGTCTCTTCAATTTCAGTTTGTGTTAAATGTAAAGAGATTTTATAGTTACCCTGTATTATAGGCGATTTTACTCATATGAGATCATACTGAAAACAGAATTCTATAATGGTCTTAATAGAAAAGCTAACCCTGGTTATGCATGTTTATTTTGTGGGGAAACTTATAGAAATTATTTTCTTTTAGAACATCACAATTGGCAGTTTCATCACCCAAGTGAAAGCAAAGGACAATGACATTGGTGTCAATGGAGAAGTGGAATATACATTCATAAAAGATGAACCAATCAAAGATTACAAAAAGTTTAACCTGGACAAAAAGTCTGGGAATATTACACTCAAAGAGCGGATCAGCAGAGAGGACCAGGAAATCTACTTTGTAAGTAGATATGCATTTATGGGCAGAACTGTCATTAAACAAATCTGTTGTTGTTGTTATTATACCATTTTGCTTTAGAAATACTACAGTGTATGTATATACAAGAGACTAAAAACATGTTACCATCAAATCACAATTGAGCACTCACAAGCATTGATTATTTAAAAGCATGCACGTTCGGTCCTATTACAACCCCTTCAATTTGGATATTGAATGTGAAACCTTATAAAATTTCACTTGAAATCCAATAAAATCACACATATTTTTCTAGTTGTCTATCCTGGCCTCAGACAAGGGTGATCCGGTGCGAACAGCTAGAAGACCCCTTAACATAAAAGCAATAGATATAAATGACAACCCACCATCATTTGATCGTAGAAAATACCCAACACCCTATAGCCTTCAGGTACAAGAGGAAAAGGCCAACATCACTGTTGGTAATCTAAGTCTGGCCACTGATCCTGATGAAGGAGTCAATGCTGAGATATGTTATTACATAGTTGGTGAGTAAAACATGTGATGAAATATTAAATCATGATTAAGTTTAACTGAAACTTATTTTTTGAGATGTTCCCTGTTGGATGGATTTTGACACTCCCAAAAAAGCTCATGATTAAAGTGGAGATAATCAAATCTGTTAAAATATTTTCAATGGATGCGAGGCCAGATATGAGTCATGTAATTAATAAGTGATTTGTATTAAGCAAAACCTGTTCAAATATACATTCTATAAAAATGTATCTTTCCTAAACATGACATGTGTTACACACAGGTGGAGACCCTCCGAAAGAAAGAGCAAAATTCCATCTGAACCAAACGAGTGGAATCCTCACATTACAAAACAGCATAGACAGAGAGACTACAGCGCTCGTCACCCTAATTATCAAGGCCAATGAGAAACAGCTTCTCTCTGATGGCATCAGAACATGCGACAATCAGGAGTTTGTCAACAAGTCTATAGAATTCAATGAGGAAGATACGAGTTTGTTGAAGGTTCAGGTAGAGATTCTGGATATTGATGATAATCCTCCAAAGTTTACTAAAACAGGGAAATATTTCACCGCTGGTGTTACTAAGGACACACAAGCTGGGGAGCCTATACTAGATTTCAAGGTAGGGGAGATAAAAACTGTATTGTTTCATCACCATCATTACATGTTAAATCAAAATAGAAGTTCAGATGCCTGAATGGCAATAGAGCCTAATGACAGTAATATTTGAATGTAAAATATTAGTAGTTTATGCTGATCATGTTCCCCTGTTCCAATGCAATTCCACATCATTGTATAGCATTGTAGACAAATGTGTAGAATGACTTGTATGTTCTAATCCATCATTTGACTTGACTCCTACTGCATAGCAATATCTAAACACTGCTGTTTATTTCCAGGATTATACATTTGACCCAGATATAGGGCAGAACAGTATTATGAGGTTCTACATAGAAGAGCCTATCAATATGACAGGGAGTTTGCGCAGTGAACTGAATGGCGAGAAGCCGTTCCGTCTAGACCAGAATGAGGGTGTGCTGTACACCAATGTCTTCTTCAAGGACACCATGGTTGGATTCTTTGACTTCTTTGTGTTTGTCAATGGCACCAACCCAGGCCTGGGCAACTTTGATAAAGCTACAGTGTCAGTAAGTATAATGTGCCATCTATATGCACACGGTGGTGTATACAAAGTATATGACAAAAAGCAGGGCTTTAGCGTGTATCTGTCTAATCATGCCATTCTTTCACTGTCTAATATAGACATGGATTTAGAAGTGGATTTTGTCTTTCTCGTATTATTTGCAACTGAACGCTGCATCTTGTATGAATACAGTTTCAATAATCAAAATAATCAAAGATCATTGTATGATATGTATCAGTATATCTATATTCTATGTTTCTTTGTTCCTTTTTAAGATCTATCTGTTAAATGAGAACCAGCAGGTCAGAGTAGAGTTCCGTTCTACCCCACAAGAGGTGGGACTTATCAAGGATATATTTGCAGAGTGAGTGCCATTTTCGATATCATCTAATGCCAAAATCTTTATATCTGATGATCCCTTCAGATAAAAGTAAATGACCAGCTACATGCTGGATTTGAAATCAGCTGGATCTCGAATGTGCTTACTCAGTCGGCATGGTCAGACATCCATGTGACAAACCATTAACATACTTAATATTTATGAGGTTATTGATACAGTCGTCTCACAAAACATTTTATGTTGCATAAAAAACATTTCCGCATGACTCTTACAAGCACAAAAGTACAAAGTAAAAGAAATATACATGTAAAAAAAAAGAAGAAAATGGAAAACACAACAAATCATCATACTTGTTTTGCCCATAGCCAGCTTTTACCAGGAGGGGGAGCTTTTTTCCAGGGGGGAGCTTTTTCACAATTTTGGCTAAAAATCGTGCAAAAAACTCTCAGAATGGTGAAAAACTGCATGATTTTGAAAGAATTTCTGGCAGGGGGAGCTTCCGTTCCGCTCCCCCAGCTCCCCCTCTGGCTACGGGCCTGCTTGTATACCATTTAAGATTACTCTAAGATTGCAAACACATAAATAAATGGTGAACCATACACTTTTAGGTTCCTTGGTAACATTACTGGTTGGAGGATCAATGTTGATCAGATACAGACTCACAAAGATGCAAAGGGGAATGCTGATGACCTCAAGTAAGTCGATAATGATATGTTATTATGTCACCACCATAAGAATGACACATTGTTGTGGTCTCCAACTTTTTTATGGATGGTGTTTGGTGGTTTGTTTCGGCAGTTTGCATTCAGTGTCTGTAACAAATGGTAGGTGGTGAAATTTTGCATGATAATGCATTGTTTAACATATTTTGATTTTTCAACTTCTGTTATATGAAGTGTGCACGTAATATGAATTTGCAAATTAAGTCAAATATATCTGAAGTAAATAACATAAAGTAGAATTTTTGTAACGTTTATTGAAATAATTATGATTCCATTTTTGTTTCAGAACTGATATGTTCATCCATGCCATAGATAAAGATGGAAATATTGTGGATGCTACACTCTTAGTTCAGTAAGTGAAATATATACACGTATCAACTCACATATCAGGTTGATTCAGTAATTCAGTTGTTCCAACATCTAGTCCCAATGTGTAACATAATATTCTGAGTAACACAATATACATTATACTATATGTTTTCTAATCAGGGAATTTGATACAATAGAATCTGTAAAGATGAAACACCTTTGCTTCCTTAAAATATTGGGAGATGTCTCAGTTTGAATATTGTAAAATAAATCATTGTTGTTTTCAGGAAAGTAGATGAGAACTCTTTAGCTTTGAATGAGTTCTTCAGGAGATACAATGTTATAAAAGTTGTGGTAAGTTTCTTGAATTATACAACATTTCATTAAAAAAATCTCAAACCAAACTGGACTCCCAAATCTTGTCTCGAGATCTTGCGCCCTGTGAATCCCATCGCTTGTCCTTGTAATACAGTACTTATGACAGAATATTTTTAGAATAGAATAGCATACTTTACATTACATGTATTGCTTAATTTGCTTATGTCTTGTAGGAGAAAGTCCAGGCAGTGAGGGCTGGATCCACAGAGGGTGATCTATTGTTGGCCCTCATCCTAGTTTCTGCAGTACTTGGCTTTGTGTGCCTTATATTATGCATTGTATTCCTAACATGTAGGAAAAAGTGAGTATACATGATGTAACAATACAGTTTCACTTACTCCTTTACACTCACATAAAAAATAAAATAGATTAATAGATGGTTTTTAGTGGAAAGGTCAGAGAATTTCAAAATTTTATCAAAAATGAGTAAGATAGCTCCAGGGAAATTTAGAATTATGATAAATGGCTGGTAAAAGTTGATAAAAATAACACATGTGATTAGGGAATTTCATGCTTGAATGAGTAAACAAGGTCAAAGTGAGGGAATATCAATATGAAAACGTTGTGGCAACCCTTTACGTTGGATTTGATACAAACGTAGCCTGGCAATAACTAGTGAATCAGTCCTTAGATGAGTCCAGCTTGTAAGTTGTAAATGTATTTATTTATTCTTCCAGATATAAGAGGAAGATAAGAGCTGCAACTGCAATGGCATTTGGTGAGTACCATTCTTCTTTGTCTTTTTGTCCTTTTGCATTATCGTTTTCTCCTAGATGGCAAAGTTCAAATTGTTCAAGTTATTTCTGTAGATCTGACATCTTTATGCATGAATATGCACTTGTTTTAGTGGAAAGCAACTGGGTGTTAAATTCTGTGATTCTTAATAACTCTATACTTCACTTTATTGCAACCAGGAAATATTAATACAGCTTCAACAAATGGTAAGTTATAGAAGTGTAGTTTGTTGTACATGTCTAAATTGTTGTTTTTCTATACTGATCTGTAGCCAGGATTTTACTGGAGGTCATTTATAGTCACAGAGAACCTCACACTGTCTTTGAGCCAGTTATGTTGTTATGTAGACGGAACTTTCAGTTCACTTATGGGATTAGCCATACACTCTTGTTATGGGTCTGTTACTGTTACATTAGAAATACCTGGTAATAGTTATCCCATCGAACGAAGTTCGGAGGGATATAGGGAACGCCTCCGTCCGTCCGTCCGTCCGTCCGTCCGTCCGTACGTACGTCCATCCGTCCGTCCGTACGTACGTCCATCCGTCCGTCCGTACGTACGTCCGTCCGTCCGTACGTACGTCCGTCCATCCGGGCAATAACTCAAATACCGTTGGCCCGATTTTGTTCATATTTTGTACACATATACCCTATGGGGGTAGAAGTTCTGCTGGAAAGCCGATTTTCAAAATGGCCGCTCATTTAAAAATGGCGGCCATTTTAGTGCCGATTTTACAGTAATTTAGGTGCAATATGTAAAACTGTAATAACAATATGTTTTAAATGTAAAAAAATTATATAGGACATTGATAAAGCTAGAAATGTAGATATTAAAAAAGCACATGGCAGCCATCTTGAAAAATGGCGGCTTTTACTCGTTATTTTACGATTTTTGCTGTAACTCAAGAAGTAGTGGAGCGATTTTGTTCATATTTGGTTTGTGAATACTATAAGCATGGCACACTGTCTAATGACACTTTTGGTAGAAGGCGGCCATTTTTCAAAATGGCCGCCATTTTAACATATTTTACTATAACTCGAAAAGTAGTGGAGCGATTTTATTCATATTTGGTTTGTGAATACTATAAGCATGGCACACTGTCTAATGACACTTTTGGTAGAAGGCGGCCATTTTGAAAAATGGCCGCCATTTTAACGTATTTTACTATAACTCGAAAAGTGGTGGAGCGATTTTGTTCATATTTGATATGTGAATACTATAAGCAAGGTACACTGTCTAATGACACTTTTGGTAGAAGGTGGCCATTTTGAAAAATGGCCGCCATTTAAACGTATTTTACTCGGCCTTTACTCGTTATTTTACGATTTTTGCTGTAACTTGAAAAGTAGTGGAGCAATTTTGTTCATATTTGGTATGTGAATACTATAAGCATGGCACACTGTCTAATGACATTTTTGGTAGAAGGCGGCCATTATGAAAATTGGCCACCATTTTAAAGTTTGCTATATATTTCGTTTGTAAAAATGCCAGCCATTTCTGTTCGATGGGATTCGCTACGCTTTGGCGTTGCCGTTGTTCTGGTTTATCATACTAGTAGATCTGTGTTCATTTATCCTAGCTACTGTAAAAGCCCAAATTTTCAAGGTGCCCTTACTTTCACTATTTTCGCTGAAGAAGCTAGACCGTGAAATTTAAGGCACAGTGAAAATTTGAGTTAACATTGAATTCAATTGGATATTTTCTCAAACAGTGGAACTTAATGCCCATGAAACATTTCAGATTGACAAAATAGTGAAAGTTTTGTGAGCAAAAATTTGGGCTTTTACAGTATTGGCAACCTTTTATTGGGTATAGGCATACAGTATATGGCTTATAGTTTAGTATTAAAGTGCCATGAGATTTTACGAATTATTTGTTTAATATTTTCCAGGCTCAAGAGATGACTTAAATAGATTACATGTACCGGGGACCAATCAGCATAATTATGAGGGGTAAATATAAATTATTTTACAATTAAACTCCATGTGTGTGCCCTTAGTTCTAGAGTACTTTAGTTGACTATACCTTGCTTAATTCCTTTGTATTAAATAGCTTATTGCATATCTATACTTTAAAGGCCCCATGTAAAGTTTGAAAATATGATTTGATCATTCACATATTATTTTTCATCACATGATCAACTATTTGAGACATCTTTTGAATATGTGACTTTTGAAAAAAGTTGTTCTTATAATTTTCAAATATTTGAATCTCTTGGATCTTAGGACAAAAGTTTAGATCTTTAGATCATCCAGATACTGTTAAAACGCATTCTTTTCTGTTCTCCATTAAATAGATCTGGCAAAATTTATATTATTTCAACCATTCAGTCCATGATATTTATGTATCATTGATTTTTGGATTCAATGAGAACTTTTTGTGCTTTTGAGTTAATTTCTTGATTATTTTCCAACCAGTTTTCTCTATATTTTCAACATTTCTCATTGTGTATGACTATAAATTAAACCAAAGTTGTTTAAACTTTATATAGGGCCTTTAAGCAAACAATTTTGTTAATGTTAACCATATCAGCTTCCCAGCTGACTTAATTTTTTTTTATTTCTAGTCAGTTTTTATAAGAGTTTTATTTCTTGTTCTAACAATCCATAGAATCCCAATTGACCAACTACTTCAGAATTGTATTATGTGTTTCTTTTTTTGAAAAGCCCATATTTTTCTCACCCTCCCCCCCATTAGCAAAGTCAATGTAGAACTCAACCCCCTCCCTCCCACGATGTTAGCTTCACTCTCTTACATATTTACATCATCACACTGATAAATATTTTAAACAGTTTCACTGTAAATGTTTTTCTCTGCTTCACTTTTCTATCTCGTTCCCCTCAATGTTGTACATTGTCAACTTCTCACTGATTAAAATACATAAATAATATATTGATAATGAATAATTTGTAACAATGGGAAAAATACATTAAGTATATTTATAGAAATAATGATATGTTCTGAAATAGATTGTACAACGCAGTTCATGATTCTGTTGATTGTTAAAGCATTGGGTGTCCTTAACTTTATGTCTGTGTGTTACATAATTGCGTATGTTTGTTACAACCATAATTAACACTGAGTCACCCTGTAATGACAATATATTTTTTTGAAATAGTTTTCAATTTTAATTATTGATATTGCTATAAAGTATTAAGTATTCTGAAGTTGCAAGAATTAATGTCAATGTTACTTTGTAAAAAAGGGGAACACATATTTCGAGGGATTGCATTTGGGGATTGATGAGCAAGTTGTGCTGATAAGGGAAAACTATTTTATTAAAATATTCAGAATATAAATATATGTTCAGTACAGGGTGTCTCTTAATAGACATGCTTTTTTATTCGATATTTATATTTTCTTTGCCAGCAAAGACGCATATATTCAGGCAAATTACAAAGAAGGACAGACACGTTTCTAGGGGTAATTCACTTCGTTTCAACATTGTGGAATGCTTATTCTTTTTGTATTGCTACACAGCATTATTATTGTACATTTTATTTATTATATTTGCATGGTGGCTATTGTATACAGAATACTCATAATTATGGCCAACTTGTACAAGCTTTACATTTATAATTAGACTCCAGATGTAAATCTGGAGTCTATTGTTTTCGTCAGTATTCTTATTCTTTATTATTATTCTTTATTATTCTTTCCCAGTTTTCTCGATAACCATAAGGCTTCCAATAAAGATCATTATTCAGTCAATTTATGTCCAGTATCTAGTTCCTCGGAAATTTCCAAGGTCAAGAACTAGGTCAAATCTTACATTTTCAACATTCTGTCATTTATCTTCGTGGTTGTTTATCGTAACTCCTAAATCTTTTTTTCATCACGTAGCTTAGAAAAAGCCAAAGCAAAGATATGACATTAGATTTTTGATTACGCTTACCGATTTTCAAATATGGCGTCCTTAAAGAAGGTCAAAATGAAAAGTTCTCCAAATTTAACATCTGAGTTATGAATTAAGGGTAGAATTTACTCAGGAATCCGAATCTGCAAACCAAATTTCGATCCGACTTCCGGTTCGAAAGTTATGGCGTTTTGAAATTTCGAGAAAAATCGATCTGATAATATCCTTATAGAAAGTCAAGAGTAGCGAAGAAAATATAGAAAAAATCATCCATCCTTCCTTCCTATCCTGTCTGATCATATCCTTCCTATCTATCCTTCCTTCCTATCCTTTCCTTCCTATCCTATCCTTCCTTCCTATTCTATATCCTATCCTATATCCTATCCTATATCTATCCTATATCCTATCGTATATCCTATCCAATCCTATCCTTCCTATCCTTCCTTCCTACCCTATACCATCCTATCGTTTCTTCCTATTCTATCCTATCCTTCCTTCCTATTCTGGAAGGAAGGATAGGATAAGAAGGATAGGAAAGAGGGATAGGACTGGACGACTTGGCTTATTCTGGACGACTTGGCTTATTCTGGACGACTCGGCTATATCCATCTCACCTATCCTATTCAATCCTATCCTTCTTTCCTATCCTTCCTATCTATCCTTCCTTCCTTCCTTCCTTCCTATCCCATCCTTCCTATTCTGTCCTATCTTATTCTTTCTTCGGATTCTATCATATCCTATTCTATCCTTCCTATCCTATCCTATACTATCCTATCCTTTCTTCCTATTCTGTCCTATCCTTCCTATCCTATGAATTCATCCATTTATCCATCAATCCATCCATCGGGTTATTCTGGATGACTCGGCTTATTCTGGATGACTCAGCCTATTCTGGATGACTTCGCTATTTTGGATGACTCGACTATAATATCCATCCCACCTATCCTATCCAATCCTATCCTTCTTTCCTATCCTTCCTATCCTATCCTTCCTTCTTATCCTATCCTACCCTTCCTATTCTGTCCTATCTTATTCTTTCTTCGGATTCTATCGTATCCTATTCTATCCTTCATACCCTATACTATCCTATCCTTTCTTCCTATTCTATCCTATCCTTCCTTCCTATTCTGTCCTATCCTTCCTCCTATCAATCCATCCATTCATCCATCAGTCCAGCCATCCACCTGCTTATTCTGGATGACTCGGCTTATGCTGGATGACTCAGCTTATTCTGGATGACTTGGCTTATTCTGGATGACTCGGCTTATTCTGGATGACTCGGCTAAAAAAGGTCTTAATCTGGAGTCTGAAATTGAACTTGTTCAATTTCCAAAGTCTAGTTATATTATGTTCTGTCTATGTAATTTTATAAGCAAAGATCATCTCCTTAACGTCAGTATAAATTAAAATGAATTATACATTATATAAATAAAATAGCTATGTCTCAAGTGTCTTTTATGAAAATTAGAACTCACAAGGCAGGATTTAGTCATATACATATAGTCACTGTTTTTTCTTCATAGTAATTAATTCATTTTCATACTTTCTAAATGATTACTTCTGCCCTATATTCATTAAGAAGGAGAAAGAGAATGACCTTTACCCAAGGTGACATCTATTTGACTTAGTGCTTAAGTCCAAATGGTTACACATTATGAATTCTTCTGAGGTAATCAATAATCAGCTTTTTGATGGACATCATATATCAGGATTAAATACAAAATTCAAGGTCAGACATGATGCAAATATACAGGTACAGAATAAACCACACTGCATATAGAGCCTCTAAAGGAATTTCAAGAAATAGAAACTGATTTAATGATAAAGAAAACGAAATAAGGAAAGTTGGTGCAAATAATCTAGTTTGTAATATTGAATATATGTTGTACCCTTTGTCACAATTTGTATTCACAATTTGTATTATTGTGTGCACATTCATTCAGGTGTCTTGCAGGTTACAGTATGTGTGCCTGTGCAGTACTGCAGCTGTATGTTTTGCAATGTGGTCTTTATTATTTTGTTTATAAAAGATAAATTTATGTCTGAGGTATGAGGTTGTGCCCTATGTGTATTACATATTGTTGCCTTTGATGCGTTATGTTTATACATGAAATACATACATTACAAGAAGGAACTATGTGTTTTACACATTGCCTGTAATGTGTAACACAAGAAATGTACTAGGAGGAAATTAAACATCCTCCGATCACAGGGCTTCAAAATCCAGAATATCTTCTTTTTACCAAGTTGGACGCGCCCGATTAAACTGAATCACGTGATCTAATTATGCGCCGATGACGTATACATAATTGCTGTCGCAGTGTTGCGACAGCCAATCAGATTGTGAGTTCTTAATCGGGGAAATGCTAACTGCTTATAGCAGGGGGAAGAAGTAGGTACGGATTCTGGACACCTGCTTAGGAGGATGGAAATTAAATAAAAGATAAATTTAAAGGATTTAACTTATGGCAATCTCTCTTTGCTATAGTATAGTTTTAAATTAAATATATATATAAACTGTTATCCCAAGAATCAAAGTATTTGTGTCTGTAACATATCAATCAAGTTTTATCTCCACCACATAAATTTTGGCACCAATTGCTGTTTGATTCTTTGATGTACTTGACACTTAAGTCTGCTATGTTTAACAGAATGATGTCATTTTAGCTGAAAATATGACCAAAATATCTCATCATAGTTTGAGTGCATGTTACATCGCATATGTTTAAGTAACATATCATTTGCAATATTGTCATATCAGTGAAAGGCATTTTCGTATCCAGTATCCATCATGCATGTTTTGAGTTTCATATTTCAGCCATTGTGTTTTCATCTACCACTTCTATCCCAGAGGTCACTGTATTAGTATGATTATGATTCTAGATCATTCTTGACTTTTATTTTATTATTTAGTTATTTTTAATCTGTTTTCTGCAAAGGTTATTAATGATTTATAATTCATATGTTAGGATCAGAAGTAAATCTCAAACTATGTATTTAAATTGAAATAATTTTAATTTAATTAAAATTTGATTTTAACATTTTCTTCCTCGACTGTCTACTTGGGAATCATAAGTTATTTGTTTTTGCATGGGGGTTTAAAAGAATGTAGAATATAAATGTTGTGAATGAGGAAATAATGTGACTTATATATATTATAATTGTATTTTGCCTTTCATTTACTAAGGGATCTTTGGGTTGTTGTAAGAGGAGGATGTGTTCCTTGAACCCTCTAGCCAATCAGCTTTCAGTATCTCTATTAGAGTTGTGGGAATCATGGGCCTATAATCTTTATGCTGGAGAGCATGGGGGCTGAAGGGCAATTCATAGTTATGTAAAATGTACAAACATACTTATCTATATATGTACTGATTTGTTTACAAATGTTTACTTATTTTCGTTTCAAACACTAACCTGTTTGTCATTGAATTTGATTTATTTACTTCTTTGCGAACATGTGCTTGTGTGTCAATGTGATTGCATAGTGGCCATGCGGTAACCACCCTCCCTCTCTCTATTTCCCTGCCATGTTTTCAAAGAAATGATCAATCATTTATGGAGAGAGGGGCAAGATACCAATAGTGGTATGATATCTTGAATCCTCTGAAGTTCCATAAACTGTAGTTCCCTGTAGTATAAGGTCATATTTATTGCAGGTTTTAGAGCCACATGGTGTTGTGATTGTGATGATTAGAATGATGCCTCGTTATTTTGTCAATGACTATTCAATGTTGTCACATCATTCCATTTTCGCTACATGATAATATTCAACATCGTCATATCATGTTATTCAATACTGTCACATCATATCATATTGTACAATATTGTCATGTCATATCATATTATTAAACATTGACACATCATACTGTCATATTCAGTATTGTCAAGTCATATTATTCAGTATTGTATTATTCAATATTGTCAAATAACATCATTCAATGCTATCACATTATTTCATCCTGTCACATCATATGTTTTAGTTTTTTCTTTCACATCACACTATTCATAAATGTTATCACATTTTTCAATATTGTTGTGTTGTTTCAGCTCTAATCCTATTTGGATGGAACAATATGATGGGCCCTGGACTGAAGAAATGGATTCCGACAGGTGAATATATTGTTTATGTACTAGAAAGGTTTGGATATAAGAGTCGATTAATTGTCATGTCTTTAATGTAATAATTCTTGTTTTTTGTTCATAACACTATTTTGATTGAGAGTATCTGATTTTCTAGAAACTCATAATAATCTAATTTTTCTATTTTGATTTTTAACTTTATATAAATTACACAGATCTGTACTTTTACTGAAAATTGGATAATTGCTAAATCACACCTACATACATGTATTTAAGATCTACGAGATCTACAATTGTTGCATTAATAAGTCTCATTCTCTGCACAGTTTCTATAAAAAGTTTGAAATGAAACACGGAATTGGTGTGACTCGATTTTAAATTGCAAGTATGAAACAATTATATCCCTTTGAATTGTTTGCATGTGACCTAAAACCAGGCATGCATACATGTAGTTGCCAATTAAGCACTGTGAATCACATTCGTTTGAAATCTAGTTAAATCAGATACTTCATGCCTTTTGATCAGCAATCTATTAACTAAAAGCATGAAATCAGTTAAATGATTTAAGATTCTTTGTGCAGTTATTAACAAATATTGATGTCAAATAAAATATATTGATTACTTTAATATGCCAGTCTAACCTTTGGTTGTTACAATAATACCAACTCTTTACAATATTTTGCATGGACCAGTGTGTAGACTGTTTCTCCTCATCTCTTTATACTGTTATAATATGCCATGACTTGAACAGAGGAGGCGTTACATAATGATTTGTTGCAATACTCCTTCAATTAGTTTATCTCATTTATAATGTCACCACCACAAGTGGTGACATATTATAATAAGCTCCAACTTATTTGTTGACTGTATTTGACGGTTGGTGTTCGGCGGTCTGTGTCTGTAACAATTGGCAGGTAGTGACATTTTGCATGTTCATGCCTTGTCCCCTTGATGTATACAGGGTGTCAAATAAGTCCCGTCCCCCCTGCTACAGCCAAAACCTTAACAGAAGGTACCTAGTGTGATATACCATTGGAAAGATCATCCAAAGTTATGTTAACTCAACAACTCTAAAGTATTTTGGATGAAATTTACCTATATTTTTATGATGTCTTTTAAAATTAACGTGCCCTCCTTTAAGTAGCTTTTTTGCGTCAAAATGACAAGGATATGACCTCAGAAATACATCAAAAAGTTAATCTTTTTCACATTCCACTTGTTACAAAAAGGTTTTCATCACTTTCCTTGCAACTCTATTTTCTACACATCTAACCCTATCCAGAAATAGGTTAAATTCATTGCCATAAACATATTTAGTCATATTTTGGTCCCATGGCCTTTCTTATACATGATTCTTAAAATCGCCAAATTGCCATGTTTCTAGGCATATGGTCACCTCAATTGATACAATGTAAAAATTTCTGATATTGATTGACATGTGTGAGAGATATGCCAATCAACGTAACTTTGGAAGACCTTTCCAATGATATATCACACTTGGTACCAAATATCTTGGTTTTGGCTGTAGAGGGGGGGGGGACGGGACTTATTTGACACCCTGTAAATATGAATGACTTGTCCATGTTAGCTAGATCGAGAAACTTGACATATTTTCCACTTAAATCTTAATTCTTCAAACCATGTCATTGCAACTATGAATTAACTATGCAGCCACCTTTCTAAATAAAGAATAATCATTTGTTTTGTTTATCTTGTGATATCTCCAGGAATAAACTAAGAAAAAGGTAAACCATTATGAAAGATTTTGATATTGTATACATGTTAGATAGTTTCTGTTGTGAACATATTCATGTTCTTATGTACTGTATACATATTATGTTGTAAGTCACTATATTTAAGCTTATATTTTCTGTATATTTCTTTCTTTCCACATTTTAGCATCAATTTGACTTTCTCTTGGTTTCTGCTGTATTGGAATAGTAGGCATGGGTCTATGTATCTGTGAAATTATACATATCTCAATATGGATCAAAAAGTGATAAGGGCAACATTTGAAACACAAACATCTGAAATTGCCTGCATGATACTTAACCAAATTCAGAAGAATATAGGTCTTATTTTTTCTTTATTAATTACCTTGGGTCAAGTACATTCTCTTCATTACTTTAATGACCAGGGGGCCATTAACAGAAACTTTGTAAAGTAAAGAATTCATAAAATCCATTGTTCTGTAACAGGTGACGTCATTATATCCATGGTTACAACAATTCATTCACGAATTTGTAACTTTATGAAGTTTCTGTTTATAGCCCCCAGATGTGTATGATTTCATGGATCTGGTAACCACTGTTGGGTCAGTCACCATGGTTACCATTATATTCCATCTCTGCAGTGTTCAGATTCTTCTTTTCATATCTGAGGTATTGGGCTTTGATCAGTTGTAGTATAAATGTAATATACATAAGATACAGCTTGTTCTATAGGAAAGAAATTCAGGCCTCAGACTGGTAAACAAACAGTGGTTTTACAGTAGTAAACAAACAGTGGTTTACAGTAGTAAACAAACAGTGGTTTACAGTAGCTTTCTGAAAATTTAATTAGCTAATGGTTTGTGAAAAAAAGCTTTTTGGCTGATAGCAATAGATGGCAAATATCAGACAGGGGACTGATTAGTCTGGGTTGGGTGATATTGTCTCACAATCCAAGAACTGCATGAAAATTTGATATGTTATTGAAATAAGAATTTTAATGATATATAGGCATGATCATTGTTTACGATAAAAGGATGTGGTTGATCTGTGGTTTAAGAGGAAGTGAACATGATTACTTTCTTGTATCCGTGTCTGTATTAGCGATTTGAATATGAAAAATATGTCTGGGGTTTCTATGTCACCTTTTTGTTGTATATTTATCACTCCTAATATAAAATACAAAAAACTTCTGACATGTTTTTCATATCTTCAGTGTCCTTCATCATAAATATAAGGACGTGTTCATGTCTAATAGAACTGGAATATAATTGTTTGTTATAGTTTTTACATGTAGGTATTGCATGTTAAATGAATCTATGATATATGCATACATATAATACTACAAACAACAGTTCATTTGTGAAATTTGTTCAGGTTTTCTCCGTTGAAAAACTCATCCAACCGGCATAACAAAAATGATAGTATAATCGTATAATTAAAAGTATGTTAAGCATGCTTATCTTTGAAATTTCTTTATTTTCAGTCAAAACAGTCAGAACTCCCTTGATATAAATGTAGTAGACCAGAAAGACAAGAAAAACCCTAACATTGCCAAACTCAACCCATATGATGAACAGGAACTAACTTTAAATCTTAATGATGACAATGAGGGAGTTAACGGAGAATGGATGGTGCCACCCACTTCACAAGGGGTCTATCTGGATGCTGCCTTAAGTGACTTTGACACTATTGATAGTCACAAGAAAAATGGCAGTCCCACAGTGTCAACAGAGATGCTGCCTAATGCAGTGCCACGAAGAATTGACCTCACTCAAGATGGCCTGGAATTCGACAATCCTGCTTACCAACTTGATGATAGCGTCAAGTTTGGGACTAAACGTATGAATGGCATGCAAATCACTGAAATATAGAGACGCTTAATGTGATCTATATTGATAAAAGTTCAATGCCAAATATGCTGAGTCATAATTCCAAGCTGCCATATTGAATTGAGTTAAATATAAATGTGAGACTGGTCGTGATGAAAAGAACTAAAAATGTGCAATCAAAAGTGTAATATATAAACATTGTATCTGAGATATGATATATACTCGGAATGTGAGGTATTCATTCAAGCATATTGTATACTTTATTGTATACTTCACTTATTATTGTATACTGTATTGTATACTGTATCCAGGGGATGTAGAACATGCAAAGTGCTTTATATTTTATATTTATATCAAATGTGGTGCTTTAATTAATCAATCAAAGCACTTGTCAACATTTATATGCAGACTTTGCAGTTTTTTCCATCATTTTCATATTTTTTTAGGAGAACAGGGTGTCCATTTGTACTATTTGTTCATCTCTTGTTTAGATCAAAAGTATGACTGTTACATCAAGTACTGCTGAAGTAAGTTTAGTTAATATATAATAATACTGACGTACATAATGATGAAAATGATGGAAAGCCTGCAATGGATTACATATCACCAAGTAAGCGTACATATCACCAAGTAAGCGTACATATCAGATTATATCTATTCATGTATTTGTAAATAAAGAATCGCATTCCAATAAAAATACATACAGTCCACTGATCTGTACATTATTTCTATAAGGTAGTGATTTTGTAGTTTTTCTTACAAGATTTTATGATAGTCGAGGAACTGCCATTTTTCAGAAAAATACTATTTTGTTTGGTTAGATGAGTTCACTTAGGAATTATATAATATCTATTCTATTCTATTGATGATATTGTATTCTTGACTTTTCAGGTAAAACATGGCAGGACTATTTAAGAGATATGAAATCTGTATTGATTTGTTGATTACCTTTGTTAAGAATTCTGGGATTGAGTAACTTTCTGTGACATTAAGAAATACGTTCAACATTGTATTGTTTTACCATTTAACATTGTACTGTGATGATTGTATATGAAATGTTTGCAATTAAACAGCTGACCTCTATTGCAGTATAGAATATATATAATAAATACAGGTTACATATAGCCAGAGATATTGGAGTGACATATTCCATCGCACAATTTAGTGTCATAGTTCACATTTACTCTGTAGTCGTGAATATGTAATATCATGCGGTGATGAAATAAGATTATTGACTAAACTTGCATCAACCCCCCTCCCTCCCAACTACCCGAGGTAATATACTCTCTAACACAATATGGGACAGAGTGGGAATCAAGTGCATAACCCTTTTGAAGAAACTAATTTTGTACCTTCAAAAGAGAGCTTATTCTACATATATTTGATCCAAAATATCATGTTATCACAAGAGTCTAATATCTGTAGTCTCAAGCAGATTAAGTGTGTACTATTATTTGCAAATGTTGCAGTAGACTTGATGTACATGAGATGTTCGACTACATTCTATTATGTTTCTTTACCCAGGCATAGGAGTAACTTATTAATCAATGATAGAGGTGGCTGTTGATAGATGGCACCATTGTGCTGTAGTGTTCAATTTGTCTCTCATTCAATAACATGTTTTCAATTCTCTAAAATACATTGCATCAAGAATATCTGAATTGATGATAACCCAGTTCTGACCTATTACCAATTTATAGAACCCCTGCCCCCTGGCCAAAAATGCTCTCTGTTTGGCAGTCAAGCTATTTGTAGATGATCAGATCACATTTTATGATTGTATTTCCAGTTATGATTACATAGCTTTATCAGGTACCAACCATTTGATATATAGGGATCTAAAGTTTGAGTTTCTCTTAAATACTGTATCCAGAATTCTTTTTCATAGTTACCAATTTCAACATTTCCAATATATTCTTATCAATCCTGTTTCTCAATTATACCAGATAAATTTACATCATCCCAACCTGCAGTGTAAAATACAGTAAAACTTGTCAAGTGGAACACCTCTGGTACCTCTAGAAAGTGTTCCACTTGGGAGGTGTTCAACTTATAGAAGTTCATTTAACATTAAGTCGATTGGTCTTGGGACTCTGAAATTGTTTCACTAACAGAGGTGTTCAACTGTACAGGTTTCACTGTATGCAGTATTCAAAACTATAGAAAAGCGTGAAACCTATATGGACATTGTACTAATAGATTACTCATTAATCATCATAGTTGGTATAAAATTCCTCATAGTACAATTGTTCTAAGGTATAATGAGAGAATTCCATCATCATATGATACAAAATAGACTCCACTATACATATGTATGTAGTTGTGTAGTGTATAAATGTTCCTAATAGATCTAACCCAATTATATTAAAATTATTTATTTTTGTAACTGTACAAAACATGTTAATTATAATGTTTAACATATGAAATGTTGGTATCATTATTAATCAAATATTCATTCCAAGTTTACAATGAGTAATGGGATACTCATTTCAAGTTTATAATGAGTAACATTATACTCATTCCAAATTTACAATGAGTAATGGGAAGTTTATAATGAGTAACATGATATTCATTCCAAGTTTACAATGAGTAATGGAATACTCATTTCAAGTTTAAAATGAGTAACATTATACTCATTCCAAATATACAATGAGTAATGGGAAGTCTATAATGAGTAACATGATATTCATTCCAAGTTTACAATGAGTAATGGGATACTCATTTCAAGTTTATAATGAGTAACATGATACTCATTCCAAGTTTACAATGAGTAACATGATACTCATTCCAAGTTTACAATGAGTAATATGATACTCATTCCAATTAATAATGAGTAATGTTAATGAATATTTTTATCAAATTGTAAGGGACCAATATAAACCATTGCAGTTTCCATGATTAATTTGTATGCATTAATATAAAGAAAACACTACATTTGAAACTAAAATATTTGGTAGACAACTTTGTGTTGCATAGTATATGCTCTGAATCATTTGTAGAATTTGAATACTTATTTTTATGCAATACTAATACTCATTATGTGTATTATAAGGAATTCATTTTTAATTTTCATAAGGATTCTTACTTTTAGTACCTTATTTGAAGGAGTTAGACAAATTAATTTAATTTTCTATAAGCATTATGTGCATTTTTGAAATACTGTATTGTACTGTAATTACACAAGAGAGATGTGTAGAGATATTTTAATCTTCAATATAAATTGTATGACCACTTCTTTTAGTTCAACTTCTGTGATTTTTGATGAAAAATATGTATTTTTAAGTTGAATATATCCATTCACATATCAGTTTTTATGTTGAGAAACATTTTAAAAGTATTTGAACTTTTTGTCCGTATTGAATTGAACATTAAGGTGGTGAATTGTTGAATTGTAGCATGTTTTGTCATTATCAGTACATGTGCAGTGTTTAAACAACTTTATAACAAAAATAAACAGATAATAAGAATAAATAAAAAATAGTATGTCTTTTTTATAGATCCCTTAGATGCGTGCTTTTTAAATGCAAAGTGTCAGGGCATTTTCTCAATGAGGCCTACCAAATATATGGATTTTTGTTCCATCAAATCAGGCTGTGGCGATACATAGAAGGAGCCTATCTGTTTTTGCCATCTTACGAGAATCATCCATTCAAAAATGGTGGCAGTTCTTATAAATAATAAATAAATAATAATGATAAATAAATAGATTAAAGTATCATGATTTTATGCTTTTTGCCATAACTCCAAGAATGCAAGCATTATCTTTTGGCAATTCATCTAGTAAAGTCATAATGAAAAATGATGGCTCTCACACCTGACAAATATCTGTTGGGGTTTGCTACATTGCATTTATCTAGTTATCCACTGAAAGAAGAAGGCAAGAATCCCTGGAAAAATATGACCCAACTTTAAAAAACAAAATATTGTTTACTAATCATCTGTGTACTATTAAACAACAAGAAACTGCCAGCTGTTCATTGTCCTTAAACTGGCACAAGGCTTTTGTTTATTATGAATGTTATATCTACTATACATGTAGGCTTATATCTGGATGTATCTGAGTCTGATGAGTCACTGCGACCTGAACCATAAGCTCATTGATTTTATAGCTTTGTCATTTATTCATTAAAATATTGATTACGATGTTCCTATATAATTCTGTTATCTTGCAAAAAGTTTAAACTTAATAACTTTGGTTGTTTTCCTTTTTTGAGCTCTGTTATCAAGTTGTGTGACCTTGTACTTGTAGTGTTAGTTGATTGAACTTGAAGTATCGTAGATCACTCATTGCACATGATTCAAAATTTGTCCAACAACAAAGTCAACAATCATATAAATATCATTAATTATTAACTTCAATTCTTCACCTTGAGAATGGCCCTTTAGATGAGGATATTCAACTGTACATACATGTATATATAAACTTGCTGCGAACCTGGTAGAAAAATCATTTTGTTTTTTATTTCTAGACATATCTTTGAACTTGACATATACAGGGTGTCAAATAAGTCCCGTCCCCCCTGCTACAACTAAAACCTTAACAGATGGTACCTAGTGTGATATACCATTTGAAAGATCATCCAAAGTTATGTTACCTCACCAACTCTCAAGTATTTTAGATGAAATTTACCTGTATTTTTATGATGTCTTTTATAGTTAACGTGCCCTCCTTTAAGTAGCTTTTTGCGTCAAAATGACAAGAATATGACCTCAGAAATACGTCAAAAAGTTAATCTTTTTCGCATTCCACTTGTTACAAAAAGGTTTTCACCACTTTCCTTGCACCTCTATTTTCTACACATCTAACCCTATCCAGAAATTGGTTAATTTCATCGCCATAAACATATTTAGTCATCTTTTGGTCCCTTGACCTTTCTTATACCCGATTCTTAAAATCCTGCCAAATACGCCAAATTGCCATGTTTCTAGGCATATGGTCACCTCAATCGATACAATGTAAAAATGTGTTAGATTGATTGACATGTGTCAGATATATGCCAATCAACGTAACTTTGGAAGACCTTTCCAATGATATATCACACTTGGTACCAAATATCTTGGTTTTGGCTGTAGAGGGGGGGACGGGACTTATTTGACACCCTGTATTTGAAAAAAACTTCATTTTCAGTTCATTGCTCGCTTCGTGGATTATATTGCCAATGTACATGTGCAGAATACCATTACTATATAATTAGGGTCTACCTACTGTATGCTAAAAACATAACACATAAGGATTTTGACAAAGGGGTTAGTTGTTGAGTAATGTTGAAAATAATTTTGCTAAATTATGATTTATTGATTTGTGTTTTTAAATGTTGTCATTTGTGCATTAATTTGTCATTTCTGTATTATTTGCAGTGAACAATTTTATGAGCAAATCAATTGACATGTTACACTTCAAATATAATTTTTTTCTTCAATATATATAAATTTTGACATTTTACTGAACTACTTACAAATGCAAAATGAATGACTGGCACAATAATATTGATTTACAGTAAGATGATAAGTATAACATTTAGTTCAATATTTTACCGCATGTGGCGCTTCAAATATTCCAGTGAATGTACACTCGCAGTTCAGTATATGTTTGAAAAGGCATACTTTACAACTACTGTAAC